GTCTGCTTCGACTATCAAGGCACCCCGGAAATAGCGGGTTACAAGAGAGTGACAAACATACAAAAGAAGTAGAGGAAAATGACTATAGTAAGGATTAGGAAAGAAAAAGCAGCAGTTCCCTGTTGTAGATCAGGCACAGTTATGAGCCTGACATGACGACTCGGTCCATTTACAATTCTACTGTGCTTGAACAAGAAATGTCCCCCCTTTGGGAATGGCCCCAAGACACTACAGTCAGTGGCACTGCTCCAGGGAGTTAGTAAGTGTTTTACTGCATTTGCAACACAATAAGGTCATATAAGTGCCGAAGATTAGAGGTGTTGCAAGAGAGTGACAAACACAAAAAAGAAGGAGGGGAGATAAGGAAGACAGATGTTTGAAAGGAAAGAAGAAGCAAACTGTATTAAACTGAAATATGCTGGGGACAATATGAAATTTTGTCTATGGTTGTGATAGGACAATAAAGAAAGAAAGAAAGAAATGAAAGAAAGAAAGAAAGACACAAAGAAAGGGAAGAGACATGAAAATTAATACATTTTAAAAAAGAATAAGAATCCCTCACTCCTCCAGTCATGGACAGCCAAGATTATAACATCAGATTATAAGTAACAGCAAACAAAATTACATCGCTTCTCGGCCTTTTGGCTACGATCAAAGGTGGTATCTGTTCTCAGCTTCTCCTCTGGCCTTGTGCCCACTGGTTTAGCGAGGCGGATACTGCCCGAGGTATCCAAGGGGCGGAGAAATCTGCCCCTCTTTTCTATCGGGTGGACAGTCATCGTCCGCATTAAAATTATTTTTTAAAAATTACATCATGTGGGACTTGTTTCTGTGGAGTGTATGTGATAAGTCTCTTAAATTCCCAAATGCCAAATCCATTACAGTCCTGGGATTTATAAAAACAGTTGGCAAGCCTGCACTTAGTACAACTGTAACGAAGCAGAATCAGAACCGCACACACAGTACCTCTTTCAACCCTTCAGTATCATGACCTTCACAACATCATCAACAGACAAACACACACACCAAACCTACTACCCACCTTTTTACCGATCTGCGTTTCCTCTGTGCCGATACCGAAGATATCTGTACGCCTCTCCGCCAGCTGCTTGAGGTTGGAGTCGATAGCTGAGCCGGGGGCAAACACTTCCTCCTGGTCCTGCTTCTCCGCCTGCGACCGCTGCCGATCCTCCATCCACTTGGGGTCCAACAGACCTGAACAAACGAACCAACGACGGTGAAGGAAAAGTGTCAGGCCAAATTGTACACTACGCCGACTTATATTCATTCAAAATTCCATTAAAAAATAGGCACTGTATTGATACGTCAAAAGAAGCTAAATCATTTTTTTTTAAACAAGAAAAAAAAAAAAAAAAAAAAGAAAAGAAAAGAAAGGAAAAGCGAGAAAAAGTTGCAGAAGCATATTCTGTGCTAGTGCAACTAGACATGAAGATCCATTTTTTACGAGAGAGAGAGAGAGAGAGAGAGAGAGAGAGAGAGAGAGAGAGAGAGAGAGAGAGAGAGAGAGAGAGAGAGAGAGTCAGACAAACAGAGACAGAAACAGACAGCCAGACACACAGAAGCACACACACACACAGAGTGTAACTCACCAATCCGCATGTGCTCCTGCACCTTGTGAGCGGGGATCTTCTCCCCGGTGATGGGTGAGATCATGTATTGGTCCGACGTTGGTTCGGGGGGAGGGGCCGGCTTGGCTGGGGGAAAGAACACAACAAGCAACGATGAGGCAACTGGCTAGAGGGTGACACGACAGGTAAGTGGTGATGTGTCGGTGAAAGTGAGACAGTATGTTATGTGGTGATGGGTCAGGAAAAGGTGAGGCAGTCTGTTAAGTGGTAATGTGTTAGGAAAAAGTGAAGCAGTCTGTTAAGAGGTAATGTGAAAGAAGGAGAGGCAGTTTGTTAACTAATAGTGGAACAGGACACTGTTAAGTGGTGATGTGTCAGGAAAAGGTGAGGCAGTGTGTTAAGTGGTGATGTGTCAGGAAAAGGTGAGGCATTGTGTTAAGTGGTGATGTGTCAGGAGAAGGTGAGACTGTGTTAAGCAGTGATGTGACAGGACAGTGTGTTAAGAGGTGATGGGTCAGGAGAGGGTGAGACAGTGTGTTAAGTGGTGATGTGACTTGACAGTGTGTTAAGTGGTGATGTGTCAGGAAAAGGTGAGACAGTGTGTTAAGTGGTGATGTGACAGGAGAGGGTGAGACAGTGTGTTAAGTGGTGATAAGTCATGAGAGGGTGAGGCTGTGTGTTAACTCTTTTTATCCGGGTAACGAATACTCGTAACGAGGACCAGTCCGGGCTACGAGTATTCTCGGAACAACGTCAAAGAAGCTAGTTCTGCTTGTAATTACCAAGATACGCAAATACGGCGATGCTAGCTCTGCCTGAATATTTTAATTTTCCAATGAACAGTGGTTCTTTGTTTTTGATGGGTGTAGAAGCTTGAAAGATGTCTCGAAAACGCACATTCACGACCGACGAAGCACTTTATGAAGTGGCACTGGGTTGTGAGGGGGAATGATACTAATTTGATAAAAGTGACTCTGAAATAAGTGCCGTAAATTCCGTTGTGGATGATAACGAACAGGACTTTGACTCATCTAATAGCGATTCAGATCATGGTGAAGGGGTCAGTACTGGAATTCGTGATCGATGGGTAGGGCTAGAGGTTAAGTTCGAGGGTGGAATACACCTCAAAATCTACATTGTGCTATTGGTGTATTTCTTAACCACATACATTTACAAAAACTACATTCAATTTCTAACATAACTGCCAAATTTCCTTAAAACCTTAGAGAAAATGTAAGAAATATATCACTTTGAACTATACGAACTGACTTCCGGCTCATACGCCGCCGCGGCCCCAGGACTGGTACAGAGTCCGTGAGGTTACGGCTAGGATAAAAGGAGTTAAGAGGTGATGTGACATGAGAAGGTGAGGCAGTGTGTTAAGTGGTGATGGGTCAGGAGAGGGTGAGACAGTGTGTTAAGTGGTGATGAGTCAGGAGAGGGTGAGACAGTGTGTTAAGTGGTGATGTGTCGGGACAGTGTGTTAAGAGGAGATGCGAACAGAAAAAATGAGACAGTATGTTAAGTTATGATGGGACAGGACAGTGTTAAGTGGTGATGTGTCAGGACAGTGTTAAGTGGTGATGTGTCAGGAAAATGTGAGGCAGTCTGTTAAGTGGTGATGTGTCAGGAAAAGGTGAGGCAGTTTGTTAAGTGGTGGCAGGACACAACAGGTAAGTGGTGATGTGACTGTAGAAGGTGAAACAGTCTATTAAGTGGTGATGTGTCAGGACAGTGTGTTAAGTGGTGATGTGTCAGGAGAAGACCAACCACAAGTACGAGAATCTCTCAGAATCTGCTAGAAAAAAAAGCAGAGTTTGGAGAAGATCTTAAGAGTCACCTAGATGCACGCTAGTAAAATAAGACAATAGTTGCCAACTTTTCAAAGCCATATCAAGCTTTTTCGAATGGAATTCTTTGAATATCTTGATAACGACTCTGAACAATTTTATGATTTGACATAACAGATAGAACATTTGGTTTCTGACCTCATGGTCTTAGTAACTTAAATAAGTCAAAAATGTCAGATTGAACTTTATAATTCTGAGGCAGCGAATTAGCAGGCCTGAAATCGCGACCTCAGTGCTTACTTGTCTCCATTTTTAATAACGGTTAAAACAATTCATAACAAAAAGTGAGCTTAAGAAGAAGTCACATTTTCATTGTAAAAAAAAATGAACCGGAGATACGACAAGAAAGCACTGAGGCTGCCAAATAGTGGCGAACTGCTGCCCGCACAACGTGAACCAACACTGCGGGAAAAGATGTCCCTACAAAGCGAAAGATCTTGTCAGCATGTTAGTGTTTTAACCCCTATAAAATTAAAAAACCCAAAAAAACACAGATCCCAGTCAGAGATGAGATAGGAAGAAGGCGGTGTCGATGGATTGGACATACTCTCAGTAAGTCAGGCAGCTGCATAACAAAGAAAGTTTTGGATTGGAACCCACAGGGCAAGAGATCAAGGGGAAGACCTCGTGGAACCTGGAGAAGAATCAAAGAAATGGATGTACAGAAAAGTGGGAAGACATGGAATAACATCAAGAGGCTAGCCCAGGATAGAGAAAGGTGTAAGGTGTTTGTCCGTGGCCTATACCCTGGTGCAGGGTGAGAAAGGCAATGATGATGAAATGGCTGCTTGCACTGAATGTTTCCCAGGAAGTTGAGGTTGTTTCAAAATGCTCTCAGGTCTGCTGGGGTAATAGTATAGATTGTGAAGCGCATAGAGCTTGCTCTTGAGTAGGGATCTGTGCTGTAAGAATGTTATCTATTATTACCCTTGGGGTTGTAGTCCTTGATGATAACTTGTTCCGGGGCGGGCGGCAGGGGTGGGGGTGGGGCCTCTGTGGGAGGGGGCGGGGGTGGTGGGGGTGGGGGCGCCACTAGGCCTCGCTGCCCAGACTCTTCCTCGTCGTCTTCTTCTTCCTCCGAACTCTCTGAGGACTCCTCCATGTCCTGGATAACACAGAAAGACCAACGAATGATTAGTCGATAACAATGCTAAAATAATAACAAATTGAGTCTGAGTAAAGAGAAGCACAGCGACACAATAGTGTACACATAGTGCAGGGAAGCAGCAAGATAGACAGACAGAAACAACCGAGAGAGAGAAAAGAGCTAGGACTTACCCATTAACATTTCAAAGGAGTCGGTCAGAAAACAGGAAGTTTTAGTTATTAGTAAGAGTTTTACGGCACTCGCAACACAATAAGGTCATATAAGTGCCGAAGATTAGAGGTGTTAAAAGAGAGCAACAAACACAAAAAAGGAGGAGGAGACATCAGGACAATAAATATTTGATAGGAAAGAAAGAACAAACCACACAAAAGCACCCACCATTCACTCACAGCTATCAATCTGGTAGATCTCCCTTCTGCTAGACCCTTTGTGGTGAAATGTGCTTATCTGCTTCAGTACTTTCTCCATTTTGTATAAGGAATTGGAGAACAACAAAAACAAAACACACAAAAAAGCTTTCTCTCTCTCTTCGTAAAGAGCACAGCAAACAACTTTTTAATAATTAAAAAGTTTTAGTAAGAGTTTTATGACACTTGCAACACTATAAGGTCATAAGTGCCGAAGATTAGAGGTGCTACAGGAGAATAACAAATATAAAAAAAGGAGGAGAGGTAAGGAAGATAGGTGTTGGATAGGAAAGAAGGAGCAAAACCACCAGACCCACCTGAGCGGCAGACTCCTCCTCTGCAGCCCTTCCCTCCTTCGTCTTCTCCTCTTCCTCATCAGACTCATCCTCCTCTTCTCCTTCACTCTCAACTTCCATCTCCACAGCATCATCCATCTGTTCAGAAAAGAAAATATCCAAAAGTGAGACCATGAAAATATGAGAGAACATTTTCTGTTATTGCATACACTAAATCTCGACACCCAAAAGGGTATAAAGCGGCGGATAAAAGTAATCATACAGTAAATACAATTAATTAGACGGCTTGGTGTAATAGGCCTACTCTTGTCATACGCCATTTTGATAATTGAAGTATGACAGAGTTTTATACAGAGTAGTTACCAAATCCTTCTTAGTGTAACAAAAAAATGGGAAGAGAAAAGTCCCAGTGGAACAAAAATTACTTCTGCAACCACCAAATTTACCAGAGACTTGAGTTACTTTTCAAGTCAAAACAAGAAAAATTTCATCATTCATTTACCCAAAAGAGCCACTCACAGAAAACATTAACTGACTAGCACACCCACCTTATGCAGACTTTGAACTCAAAATTTACAAACAAAAGCATTATTAACAACAAATACCTACCTATCATTAATTAGCAATAATAGAAATTAAAAGCACTAGTGGCATTATAATTCAATATCATCAAACGAAACTTTAAAGCACTATACTTGAAACTGAATTGAGTGTAAGACTCGGTCTTAAGTCACTTTTCAAAATGGCGTATGACAGAGCCTTCCACTAAGCAGTCAATATAAAGTTTTTAGTTTTAGTAAGTGTTTTACGGCACTTGCAACACAAGGTCATATAAGTGCCCAAGTTTAGAGGCGTTACAAGGGAGTAACAAACACAAAATAGAAGGAGGGGAGATAAGGACGATAGATCTTTGATAAGAATGAAGGAGCAAACCACACCAGAGCACCCGCCAACCATCCGCCAATATAAAGTGACAAGAAACACGAGGTTCAACAGATCAAAATGGTGACATGTCTTACAGGGATTTCTCCTCTGACGAAGCGCTCCATCTGCAGAATACGAGCTCCAACTTCTTCTGGTGTGGTTGGAGGTGGAAGATTACCTGTGAAACAGAAATGGAAACAAGAAAGAAACCATTAGAGAATATGACAGTTTTAGTACTTGCAACACAAATAGGTCATATATAGGTGAAGAATTAGAGTTGTTACAAGACCACAAACAAAGAAAAAAACTAGCAGAGATGATGCTGATAGATGTAGGATGGTAAGGAAGGAGCAAACCACACTAGAGCGCCTGCTAACCACCCATTAACATTAGAGATTGTTACATCAAGCTATGAAATCAGAAAACAAACATCCCTGAAACAGAAAAGAGTAAGCCTATTCTCAAAACAATGTTACAATGATGCTTTAACAGACAGTATGCAGGTGCTGCATTTTTAAACATCACACCCCCCCCACCCAAACATTCAAAAACATATGGAAGCAAGCCCACATGTTGACATACTGTTGTTTAGTAAGATTTTAGGGGGCTTGCAACTGCATAAGGTCATATAGTGCCGAGAGGTGGATGTCAGCAGAAAGTCCAAACGGGGAATCAGGCTTTCTCTGCTCACCTCTCTAGCCGTAACAGCACACAGACTGCTTCTACTACCAAGGCACCCCGGAAATAGCAGTTCACAAGAGATTGACAAACATACAATAGAAATAGAGGCAAAATGATGATAGTAGGGATGAGGAAAGAAAAAGCAGCAGTTCCCCCATGTTGTTCCGGCACAGTATGAACATGACATTGATAAATCAGCCCATTTACAATCCTACTGAGAAGGGTAGGGGTTTACATCTTAACTTTACAAACATAAAACAATCCTCATGACAAAACAGACCACACAGCTAACACAGCAACAGTTGGAGAGTTTCCTCAACGTTACCTGTCTCCAAAGCCTGAAAGTCCACAGTCTCCACCACAACAAAGTCGTGCCAGTCAATCTGAGCATACGCAACTGAGGACAGACAAATGTCATCTTGTGAGAACTGAAAATTACGTCACCAAAGAAATTCAAAGGCTCCACATACAAAAGATAGACCTGCATGTGAGCCTCAACCAGACTGTCTGAAAATTTTGTGCACCCCCCATAAGAGCTGGACTCGCACTTCGCACATCGACTAATACAGATGGGCCAAGCAATAGCATCGGCCGGCTCGTGGGTCGGGTCGTGATTGTCGGCAAACATGCAGGTCGAAAAAGAGCTATAGATAGTTGTGACCATAAAAGACGCCCCACTCCTTAACATACAAAACAAAATTTAAAAAATAAAACACCCTCACCAGGGTAGGTGATGACATTCATTAAAAGAGGAGTGGATAAGATTCTACTTTCCTAAAGTACTTAATTCAAATTTTTTAAAAAGAAGATCCCACCACGTTAACAATCATTGATACAATAAAGAAGAATGCAAGTAACCTCATTAGCTATTTCATAGTTTCGTACAAACAATAGGATTTTAATCACTTCAGAAGTGAAAGAAAACGATAAAGTCAGCAGAAAAAAACCCCAACAAACAGCAAACTACAAGGGCCAGAGATCTAGGACATGGGACTTACCCCTTTCCTTTTCCAGCGCCTCCTCTTCCTTCTTCTTTTCTTTGTCCTGATGTTTGGCCCACTCCACTCTGTACTTGACTTGGTCCAGGATCTACAGGAGGCGACGATACAGAGTTTTAGGAAACAAGCAAAACAGCAAAAGACTAATAATAATAAATAGCATTTATACTGCTCATTTCCATTTCCTAAAAGATGCTCAATGCGCATTACAATGAAAAAGACATCACATCTTAAAAATTAATCGACACAAATGTGTACGTAAAACAAAGTATTATACATATAATATAAATGCATATGTGTAAAATTTTATGCCAGAAAAACAGTCTCGCAGTGAGGTTGAAAATGTGTTCACTAAAAATATACAATGCAATATAAATTCACGAACAGTCAAAATACAGTTGAAACGTGAGTAACTAGAAACATTCATTAAAACATTAATTCTATACAGATAGAAAAACATTTCCACTCTATCTCTCTCTCTCTCTCTCCCTCTATCTCTCTCTCCCTCTATCTCTCTCTCTCTTTCTCTCTCCCTCTCTCGCTATCTCTCTCTTTTCTCTCTCTATCTCTCTCTTTTTCTCTCTCATTCTCACTCGCTATTTCTTCAGTCTCAGTCTGCATACACAAGCATATATATCACAGTACATCATTATGACAGGTATGCTTTTGTGAATAAAAAATGCTTCAGCTGATTTTTGAAAATGGAAATTGTTGGGGCAGATCTTATTTTATATGGGATTTCGTTCCATACCTGGGGACCAAAGAACAAAAAGGAACGCTCGCCGTATGTTTTGTAGTTTTGTTTTGGAGTTTTAAGAATTAGATTGTCAAAGGCTGATCTAAGGGCTCTAGGTGGATTATATAATTCCAGGAATGTTTTAAGACCAAAAGGTGCACTATCATTTATACATTTAAAACAGAGAACGGCAGTTTTGTATTTAATCCTTTCTTTTATTGGCAGCCAGTGTAGTTCTTTCAGAATTGGTGTTGAAGTAGATCCCAAGAAGAAGCCCTTACACTCTATAAACACCTAAAAGGGACAGAAAAAACCCACTCCAAATGTTGAGCTAAAAGGACGCCCTGCAGCTCTATTAAGGTCACCTGTGACTTTACTAAGAAAATACCCTACAACTCTACTTAGAAGATAGCCCGTGACTTTACTAAAAACATACCCCCGAAACTAAACTAAGAAGACATTATGCACCCCTGTAAACAAACCAATCCAAAACCAACCAACCAACCAACCAACGAAACAAACAAACAAACCAAACCAATCAACCAAACGGACAAACTGCACGTGGGAGCCCACCTCCTTGGGGTTGTTGACCTCCTTGTTGAGCTTGTCCCTCATGTCCTTGGGGGGGATGAGGATCTTGGTGTACTGCACCACCAGCTTGGTGAAGTACGTGAACAGGCTGTGCTGTGGCCGCAGGAAGTCAAACAGGTAGTTCCGCTGCTCCCGCTGCATCACCGTCTCCAGGAACTGGCGGCCATTTCGGGCTGTGAACTGGGCGGTCAGTTTCACGATATCTCTGCGAAGGAATATATGCGAATGTTTGTGTGATTGATCATGTGATTGGTGTAAAGCGCTCAGAGCTTATACTAGTATGGGAAAGAGCGCTATATAAATGCAATCTATTATTATTATTATTATAACATGGCATCATCACTTCCATACTTCTCTTCCTAGAAAAACTAGTGTGGTGAATGGGATGAAAGCGGTAGTCTAAGGTTCGTAATCGTGAGATTGTGGGTTCAGCGGTTTGAGGCTCAGCTTGACCTGACATTGTGCCCTTGGGAAAAAAGCACTTAAAAAAACACAAATTTTCTAATCTGACTCAGTCCTTGTAACACGTCAAATCTTCGGCACCTAAATGACCTATTTCAGTTTTATGAGCCGTAAAACTCATATTAAAACTAAAAGACACTGTCTAATCAGAGAAGAACGATAAACTTGGACGTCTTCCCTCTTATTAAATAATAACCTTAGTTTTGCAAGGGGAGATAAACTTAGACAGTTTCACACATTTCTTTTCAATTACCTTTACATTTAAGGTGAATTGCCTGATGCCTAAACTGTAACCAATCTGAAGAAAGCCTGAAATACTCTCATTTCTTAAACCTAAAACACACTATTCACTAAAAGTCCTCAAAAATGCTTGATTCATCTCCCCATTTCCCTCAAGACATTTTGCCATATCATTATACATTCACAAAACGTCTTCACAATTAAACGTACTCATATATTCTCATACTACCTACGCTACGTGTTTTCACATTCGCCACTTACAAGTCGTAAGCGGAAATAGAAGGCGGGTCACACATGAACTCATACTCCGGGGGTGGCTCCTTCGGCACAAAAGTCTCCACAATCTTCGTCGGAGCATCTGGAGGTCTCAGCACACCTATGAACTGACTCTGGACCTGAACAGAAAACCCCCCCCCAAACAAAATTACAATCAAAATTCCAATAATAAAAAAAATGGCATACTTTATGAACAATATCAACAAACCTGAACCCACTTAGATTAATAATTTCCATCTAGCAATCTAAATTTGGCCCATGAACAGATTTGGTAAAAGAAGCAGCAGACAGAATCAACAGTACTCAGCAACCACCTGCGTTCACTCTACTTAGAGCCCAGTTTACATCAAGGTGAAAAAGTCCTTACGCTTTCACCTTACTGCGTCAAAAGACAAATATTCTGAGTAAACGGGAAGCAAATCGACAGCAAGAGAGATGCAGAAAAAAAAGGAAGTAGTATTCTCGAACCACCCACCCAAAGACAATGCAAAACAAGCTCCAGAGGGTTAAGTTTTAGTAACCGTTTTACTGCACTTGCAACAAAATAAGGTCATACAAGTGCTGAAGATTAGAGGTGTTACAAGAGAGTAGTAACAAACACACACACAAAAAAAAGGAGGAAAGATCAGGACGACAGATGTATGATAGGAAAGAAGGAGCAAACCACACCAGAGCACCCGCCAACCAGCCACAGTCCCACAAGCTGCAGAGAATACAAAGAGAAGAAACCACATTGTATCATGAGCTGTGCACCTTGTGACCTCCATTCCCCAATACTGTACAGGAAAAGACAAGAAAATAAGGCAATAATTATTATTGCATATTTAGTACTAGCACACTGCGCAGCCTTTTCAAGAATGTGCGATAGATCAGTAACAGACTCCACAAGATGACTCACCTTTGGGGCTTGAGGTTCTTGGCCTAAATCCGAAGATTGAGAGAAAAAAAGTAAAAAGGGAATCAAAACCTGTCCCAAAAATTTAGAAGAAAGTATTCATGCGTTTCATCCATGAATGGTTCGTAATCATGTGTTCTCAGAACAGAAGACAAGGCAGGGAGGGGAAACTACGACCTGCCGGTCACACCTTGCCTGTGAGTCGACACAGTCATTTGAGAATGTTGCAGCTCCTTAGTTAAGACAATACAGCTGAATGACCTCATAAATAAAAAAAACATCTTTACCCAGAGATTTTTTAAGAGCATCAGTCTAAGTAAAATCAAAGAAATTGTAAATGATGTTTAGTTGAGCCAACAAAATCTGATATTTCAAGCTCAAAATATTTTTTTTATCAGCAATCAGCAAAAGCACCAATCAAAACACACATTCTAAATAAGGACTGAACTAAACTGAAATGGTCAAATAATATTTAAAAAGTGTGTGTATATATATATATGTTTTAATAGAGAGCTACCTATGGAACCTTATTCTATAACAACAGCACACACTGACCTCTCCCCTCCTTGAACTCCACCACTTTGTGTTGGTAGTATGCATGGTAGGCATCTGCTGGCTGCAGGAAGTTGAACTTTGGATTGTTGACCTCATTCTGACGGATGCGGTTCTCAAATTCTGGGCCATTTCTCGCCACAAAACTTGCTGTCTTATCAACAATGTCTTAAATATTGGTTAAAAAGAAATGACTTTGAAAGAGGTGAATTCATTTACCGACTTGAAACAGCAAACTCCCAAGCAAAATCCAGTTTCTTGGCCCACAACAACAATTCCAAAATTTGGACAACAGCTGAAACTTTAAATTTAAAGCTTCTGTGCAATAGTCTTATAGAACTGCCCACTGGGGGGGGACCACAAACCCATCGCCAGATTCGCAGCCTGAAAACAAATGCGTTTGTTTTTATTTTTACTTTTTGAGGACATGAGCCGGGCAATCGGTTTGTGCCATGATGGTCCCTTTGCCCCCTCAATCTGGCTAGCACTGTCTACCAAACCGAACAGGCCAATAGACACCCCCTATTAGTCTTAGGTTTAATATACTAATACCCAGTGCCCATTGGGGGATTGACAACTGACAAACCAATCGCTTGATTCGTAGCCTCAAAACGTGTTTGTTTTTTAGGCTACGAATTGGGTGATCGGTTCGTGCTACGACAGTCCCTTTGCACCTTCAATCTGGCTAGCCCCCCTACTGAACCAAATCAAACTGATCTTGCGAATGGTCACTCTCTATTTCTAGATTAATTTTTCTTGGGGCCAAATTCGGAGATTGGATTGGAAACCCTATTTGACAAGATATCGATAGAAGAAGGAAGAAAATGGGAAAATTTCCGTAAACACGAAGCTACAGCGAGCACCTAAATCTCTAGCAACCTCAGTGACTGGCCCAAATATAGATGACGTATTTCCACTATCTATTTTTGTCGTCTTCCGGGCTTCCCTCGCCATTGACTAGAACTCACAGTGGCGGGTCCGCTTTGCCGCTTCGTGCGCGACGGGCTACATCAATAGGATTAATCTCTGACTGCTAGGGCCGTGTGTGCGTGCTTGTGTGTTTGTGTGTGTGCGCGCACGCATAAGAGTGTTTGAGCGCGTCCTCGCTTTTGTGTGTGTGTGGGTTTACAAATTTGAGGAGAAGGTAAATTTATGGAACGAGAATTGCCGAGATTGTTTATAAAAGATTAAACAAATAAAAAAAAAAAAAAAAAAAAGCAAGATCTACTCAACAGTTATTGGCGAGGGAAAGCATGGAAACAACAAAAATAGATGGCGGAAATAAATCTATGTCATCAATATTTGGGCCAATCACAGGTGTGCTAGGTGCTCGCTGTGAAAGCTTAATCATACTTCATGTCTTCCGTAACGAGCGACCACTATTCATGGCACTCTCAAGCTTTGCTTAGACGGGAGTGTCCACTGTTGGTTAAAGTAAGCCGGTTTTAGTCAGTGTCGACAGTGACGAATATTTAATATTTTGGCCTGCTTCAAGCGTTCCATCCCATGAGATGAAGGAAAACGAAGCAGTGATCCTAGACCGATTGACCATTTGTCGTTTTCCCTTACACTGAGCTCTGGCTCAGAGCTCGCCAGAGTAAGGGAAAACGACGAACTCGCAATTACGCAACAACGCATTAGGAAATATGACAAAAATGTATACGTCTACCAAGATGTTTCAATTGCCATATCTGGCGTCCGGGCGCCACCTTGTGTTAGCATGTGACGACCCGTGATAATATATATATATATATATATATATATATATATATATATATATATACACATGAGTGAAAATAAACGTTCTTCTAGCGTTCTTGAGTTGGAAGCGTGTAATTTTGTCTGTGGGCAGTGTGTGTGTTTTTTTTTTTTTAGTAAGTGTTTTACGGCACTTGCAACACAATAAGGTCATATAAGTGCCGAAAGTGTGTGTGTGTGAGAGAGAGAGAGAGAGAGAGAGAAAAAAAGAGGGAGAGGGAGAGAAAGAGAGAGGCGAGGAGGGGGGGAGGAGAGAGAGGGAGGGAGGGAAAGACCGACAGTGACAAGAGAAAAAAAAAAAGGGGGGGGGGGGGGAAGAGAGAAGGAAAGAGAAAGGGGAGGGACAGAGAGACAAACAGAAAGAGAGAAAGAGGGTGTTTGTTTTATAATAATATAATAAGAACAATTGATTCCCGTCATTTTCTCTCTGCGTCTGTTCCCAAGCTGATCAGGTGCAATACAGTTATTACTGTACACATTTTACGACCAGTCATATCTTCTGAATCCCACTTTCTGTTTCCCATCTCTCACCTCTTGTTTACCATGTAGGCTACCGTATCCAATTTTCTCATATGTCGACTTAACATGCAATTAAACATAGAAAGACGCAAACTATTTTTAGGTACGGCGCCCATCTTGTTTGACGTCACACCAGGATACCCCTCCGATCATATGACAACATCTAAGAAAAGCCAACCGCATGGCACCAAAGATGGAAGTGTCTATTGTGGTCTATTTGGTTGTTTTTGGTTGTGGCAGGGGGTTAGGCCTAGCCTATTGTATTGTCTGTTCAGTTTCTTGAGGGATGGAATGTGCAACCTTACTACAGAGCAGCATATAGACCTAGTGGGAATGGTATTGTCGAACGGAATCACCGGACCATTAAGGCCATGGCAGAACGTGGGAATATTTCCCCTATGGAGGCGGTCTTCTACTTTAACAGTGCACCACGGTATAGAAAAGTACCAGCGTGGCAGGTGGATTATGTGGTTGGGTAGCAGTGGGTGGAAGTTGCTACTTTGTGATGTACATAGTGTTTGAGGTCTGAATTCTCTTGTTGCAGTTCTTAAGTGGGGTTTTAGTGCCGCTTAATTTGTTCGCTTTTTGGGGGTATTTATTGAGATTTATGATCTTCAGATCAGGGGGGCGTGTGGTCTATTTGGTTGTTTTTGGTTGTGGCAGGGGGGTTAGGCCTAGCCTATTGTATTGTTTGGCTGAAAGTGTGTGAGAGTGAGTAAAGTGTGAGTCTCTGTTCAGTTGTATTGTTTGCAAGTTTATAAAAGCAGTCTGAGTCACGACTGGTGGGACTTTGAGAGGAGAGAGTTGTATCAAGGAAGAGGAGGCCTGCTGAGAGTATAGGTGGTGAAAAAGGCTAGTTAGAGCCTCGGTTCATTTGTGTGTGAAGCGTGAGATTCCAACGCATCGGGGCCCCAAAGCTGCGGAAAGGATCACAACACAGAGAGGAACAGGTTTGGTTAACTCCTGTTATAGTAGCATGCAGACAGAAGGTTAATAGTCATAGAGTGTTAAACCTTTGTTTTATGTTCCAAGTAACAACATCTATGTTATAACGCTTTTTAAAATCTACACCATGCTCTCGGAAATTCTGATGGCCGAATAGACAGCGCGTCTGCGTTTGAAGTCATGCTAAATCATCAATATAATCAGAACTTTCTGCAATACCATATCTTTGGGGACTCATGGACCTAATAAAAACGTTTACTAGTAGAAAATATTTTAAAAAGTGAATAATTATAAGCTTACAAATGAGCTAAGTAGATACCATCACTTTTGTGAGATGGGCGACGACACACACACACATACAGAGAGAGAGAGAGAAAAAGAGAGAGACGACACACACACACATACAGAGAGAGGGAGAGAAAAAGAGAGAGAGAAAGAGAGAGGGAGAGAGAAGGGGGGGGGGGGGGGGGGAGACAGACAGACAGAGAAAATGGAGAGAGGGGGGAGGGGGGGGAGAAAGAGAGAAGGAAAGAGAAAGGGGAGAGACAGACAGAAAGAGAGAGAGGGTGTTTGTTATTATGATAATAATTATTCACGTCATTTTCTCTCTGTGTCGGTTCCAAGGCTTTTTTGTTTGGGAGTGTTTACAGACCTGGTAACCGGGAACAAAGTCACAAAGTATACAGACCCGGTAGGGGAACTCTTTTGTGATTTTGGAGAGTTTCTGCGCCCTCTTGGCTCAGGGTAGACCTAGGTTCTTCTAGATCTGTGGCCTAGGTCTAAATCTAGGCAGACAGACATAAATCTTTAATCTAGTAACTAGTTTCGCGGCTAGCCTAGATCTAGATCTAAATGAAGATTGCGGATGTCTTTTCGATGAACGATCGTTTTTCCTCCGTTTTGAAGTTGGAGGAATCGCAAGTCGCAATTTGAAGAAAAGAACAATGTCATAATTTCAATCGAGCAGTCACCCTCTCTATTTCTCTCTCTCTCTTTCTGTATCGATCGCCTTCTCTTTTTCTTTGTTTGTCTCTGTCTTCCTTTGTCCCCACCTATTTCACACTCTACTATCTTTCTCTCGTTCCCTCCTGCCAACTGGGGGGCATGTCATTACAGTTACATTTTGCTAGCACCTCTCTCTCTCTCCGGTTACCGGGTCTGTATACACTTCGTTTTCGTTTTCCTTCATCTCATGGGATGGAGCATTTGAAGCTGGCCAAAATATTAAATATACGTCACTGTAGTCACTGACTAAAACCGGCAGTGGACGCTCCGTCTAAACGAAGCTTGTTGAGTGCCGTGAACGTAGCCTCAACAGCGCCTGCCAACTACATTCACGGCGCCGTGAACATAGCCACTGCGAAAATTAATTGATTTAAAAGGCCACCTCTATTCTCACCCGGGATGAGAATAGTGCAGGCGAGTCGTTTGGCTATTCTCACCCGGTGCGCGTTCACCGTTATAGCCTAGATCTAGGCCAACAAATTTTGCGTTCACCCTAAACCACAGAATTCTACACTGTGATAACAGAAAAATTGTAGAATTCTGTGCCGTGAACAAACATTCCATTACAACTGTAGCCTACTAAAAGCGTACAATTTTGTCTGTGGGCAGTGGAGAGAGAGAGAGAGAGGAGTAGCACGAGAACTTACGGTCAAAACAAAATGGCGACCTGCATAGTTCGGCTCGATTCGAAAAGTTAAATAGCCGTAGCATCTTTGTAGACAACCAAATTAACTTACTTTTGTGTTTTAACATCATTTTTTAACTTTGTTTTGGTCAATTTGATCGTCCACACCGATAGACAGTATTCAGAAAGAGACACAGAGAGAGAGAGAGAGGGGAGGAGTAGATCTTGCGAGAACTTCCGGGCAAAACAAAATGGCGACCCGTGTAGCTCGGCTCGATTCGAACAGTGAAATAGCCATAGCATCTTTGAAGACGATCAAATTAGCTTACTTTTGTGCTATAACGTAATTTTTTCTTGGCTTTTATCAATTTGATCATCCATACCGATAGACAGTATTCCAAAATGAGGAAAAGCAGGACTTGTTTCGCACCGGGTGAGAATAGCCTACGCTGGCAAGTCTCACCCGGGGTGAGAGGTAGATCGTTTTTCTATTCTCACCCCGGATGAGAATAGCCACTTCCGATTTAAAAATTCGTAACTTTTTTGTTTATTGCAGACCTGCCACTCTATGAAATCTAAAAATCAGGATTTTAGAGTAAAAAAATCAGGATCTGGTGAAAAAATCGGGATCAACGGCAAATCATTCATAAAGGGTACTGGGGAAGGGGGGGGGGGTCCCTGGTTCCCTTTTATGAGGCAAGTATGCAAGACAAACTTTTGCAGGAAAAAGTTCACGTTTGGGCCTCTAAATAGTGGGGAAACTGAAAGACAGCATATAATATGTGTATATGTACTCAGTCGGAGTTGGACAGACTGGGGAAGTGCAGGTTGCAGTAAAGTGAAAAGCTGAAACTCGTAGTCTTGAAAATAGCTGACACATAACTCTAACCATCTATGCAAAAAGCCAGCGTTTTCATACAGTAGTGAACGTTTGACTTCCATCGCATTGATGTACACTCAAGGCACACCCCCCCCCCCCGAAAAAAAGATCGCGCCAAGGTTGTTCATTTATTTCTTTTTTCTTATTCCTTTATCCTCAATTAGTACCTGTATCACAGCACCAAGTGTCAAAAAAATACCCCCCCAACCCCCTTCCCCCCGGTCGTCCACACTGGTTATGTCCCGAAAAACACCTCGACCAACGCGACCGGTGTGAATGAACTTTGTTGACCCCGACAGCTGACGGTCCCCGACACACGCGCTACTCACACGCACGAGGTCATGTCATGAGATGCGAATGAGCGTTTGAAAATTCCACTGACAGATCTTGATGATGAGCCCTACTAACCAGAACTCAGCAAGACGAAGCTTGCTTTTAAAGCAACGGCAGAACAACGAATAGATTATTCTCAGGCCCATGTCATAATTGTTACAGTAATCAGGACACCATTGGAGAAATCTGGGTTATAAAAGCGAAAGTAAATCTTTGAGTGTATCCATGTCGGAATTCATAATCGACAAATTTTAGTTGAAATAACGTGCGTGAGTCATCTACTAGATTCAACATAGATTCTATATGCTTTAGAAAGTAGCGTCTCAAGTTTCTGCCGATAAAAAGTCCATTCGGTGCTTCCAAGCAAATGAGATTGTAGAACTTGTAATATTTTTTCTAAGAATCGGACGCAACGACAAAAAATCAGGATACTGGCGATCGAAATCGGGAAAATCGGGATGCTTGAGATTTGGGCTGGATTGAACTTTGGTGGACCCACCGTGTTTATATTATTAATACGCACTAGGCAAACAACGGACTGTACAGTCATGGGTCCTAATCGACCGCTACGCAAACTAGTTCCTGGCGACGCGAGGTGGAGGGAGTGAGGGCTGCGAGACTGCCCCGAGGAACCAACGCGAGGCGGAGTGAGTGAGGGCTGCGAGACTGCCCCGAGGAACCGACGCGAGGCGGAGTGAGTGAGGGCTGCCAGAATACCAAGAGAGAGAGAGAGAAGGGCTTACGTTTGGTGGTGCGCACCTCCAGCACTTTGATTACGTCGACAGCGGTGGGGTGGGGGTGGGGGTTTCAGGGGGGCCTGATAGTTAAGAAAACACTTGGAGGATGGCTTACGTTTGGTGGACCGCACCTTCAGCACTTTGGTTACGAAAACTTATAGTATTCGACAGCGGAGGGTGGATGGGAGGTGGGGGGGTTTCAGGGGGGCCTGCCCCCCTGGCCACACTGATAATTGAGAAGACACACATAATGCAAATCAATAATAAACAATAAATCAATAATAAACAGAGAAAAGAAAAGGGGACCAGGAACATTTTAACTAGTTGGTTCTGCCCAAGAACTTTAGTGGACCCACATTGCCAGCCAAGGCTAGGCATTAGATACCATGATAGATGCGCGGGTGAAGTTTACCGGACCAGTGAAGAGAGGGGGAGACATGGTGGAGGTGGTGCCATGCCGTGACTAGATTGACCAATCAACGCTTGGGTCTAGCCACTCGCGCCAACTCACGGGCTTTGCGGTGGAAAAATCCGGTAGAAACTTGCAGTTTCAGTTGACTAAATGAGCCCGAAGTGAGAGGATGCAGGCAAGAGAGGGAGAGGAGAGAGAGCGCGCCGTGGCGGCCTATGGCCGCAAGGCCGCGCTGCGGCCAAGGAAGAACAGTGGACCAGCGCATGGCTTCACACGACGCCCACAAGTAGTTCCGGCCCCCCTCAATGGTGGGTCCACCAAAGTTCAATCTTACCGAGATTTGGGGCAAAAAATCGGGATACCCCGATTAAATCGGGATGAGTGGCAGGTCTGTTATTGATGATTGATGGATTTCAAAAATTCAAAAAGTTCCATGCTCCGTGAAAATACAGCTACAAAATGCACCTAGATATCTAGATATCTATTTGCAAACACTTTCTGACAAAAAAAGGTTTTTCGTGGTCATTGCTACACAACTACAAGGAGGCACGTCTTTTACGGCATTTACGGTCAACTTTTTAAAATCACTTATCGGAAGAGTGCGAAAAGGATACTTCTTACTTCAGGGGGAGGGTATATTATCCCAACAGAAGATTTACCTCCTGGGGCTTCTTCTGCCTTCCCATCCTCAATGGGAGTCTGAGGAACGTCAACAGAAGGCATTTTCAACGAAGTATAGAGGCTACCTAAAAGCAACCTCAAAAACGTGAAAATAACCAAAACAATATGGCGTTGTGGCGTTATTCTCTTGCCAGGTACCAGATACTAAAGTATATAATTTTATTTTCAAAGATAATTAATCCCTTTTCTTCCATAGAATGGAGAGAAAACTCGATGTATGCTCTTTAGGGCTCAAATTGTAAGCAATTCTATAAAAAAAAGTGTGTTTAATTCAATACACATGCCAATCAGCCGATGAAGTGTGTTTATGGAAGAGGGAGGGTGAGAATAAAATTGAAATCCTTCTCGGCAAATTAAACTTCAAAAAGATTACCTATACCGTCAGTAAAAACTGAAACAAAAGTGTGCACAATTGTTTTCCTCAATAGGAAAATAGACTCTTCTGTATTGATGATACTGTTAGCCAAATATTAAAACCTTTTAGACATTATTTATGCCAAATGAAACTACTATATAAGGTTTCAAGATTTTGGCTTAGTGTACTCCTTAATGTGTCTTGGGTGTACTCCCTGCTTTTGGTTATTTTCGTCAAGTTTACAGTCTTAGCCTAGTCTTGTGTCTTGTTTTCATAATAGCTCTCGCGGATTCTCGCGAGACTGAAGCCGTGAAACTTATCGATTGTTTACCCATCACTGGGGACGCCACCGGTAACTATTCTGACCACAACAAAGCATTCGGCATGTGAACAAACACGCCCGCCTTTTGGATGCATCGGTTACTCATGCAAACAGTTCACCAGAATGGTATGAGACCACCCATTAGTTCGAGGAAATTAAAGAAAGTACTTGAAACTAGCAACAGTTTTTCGAGTCCTTCGATCGTTGCTACCCATATCGCAGACCGCGAATGCGAGGGAAAGTAATAAAAATCGTAGGCAAGTAATAAAAATAACAGTCATTACAATAAATGGTAATCTAGATCTAGATCTAGATCTAGTACTGATGATGAAAACAAAAATGTGTTTGTAATGTTTGGATCATGATAATTAGAATAGAAGTAATATGTAAGACATGGAGTAGCTTTAAAATTTCGAGGCATTCATTATATATTATATATAACTTGGATCTTAGATTTACTTGGATCCAGAGCTAGAATCATGTCATAGCAGGCGCCACATGTCCATAGCTGCTCATCGCTCCTTTCTCAGGGTCTTCCTGCTAATTGTCACCATGAGGAGCTGGTTTGAGACACGCCTGACCACTCCTCGGAGAAAACTTTTTTTGGCTGTGCCCCGCACACACTTTTCTTTTATTGTGCTGAGTGTGTGGGAGTCTGTCTCCTCTTGGTTGTGAAGGCTCTCCTTGCATCTGGCAATCACCATTGGTGGGTCGAGCATGATTCGGCCAGTTCATCAGCACGCTCATTTCTGTGCACCCCGGCGTGATCAGGGCAGTCGAACACCCATGTAATTCTTAGGAGGTGGCTATTTGCAATAGAAGCTCTCCAGTCACTGTAGAGCCACCCACTCCTGGCCACCCACTCCTGATTTTTTCTAGGGTGCTCATCGAATCTGTGACAAACAGGGCATGTTTATACGCTTCCATGCTGATCCATTCCAGCGCCTGTGTTATTGCCTTGACCTCCATTGCCATGCTCAACGTAGTGCACTCGTAGGCTCCAGACTGTTCTTTAATTATCTTCCTGTCAACTCGAGCACTGAACGCCCACCCAGATTTCTGGCCACGCCTCACAGCTGATCCGTCGGTGAAGATGACAACATCACCCATCACTGAATTTTCCTCAAGGATGGCCACAATTTCCGCATTAGTTGCACTTGCTGGCCACGCGCGACACTCTCGACCTAGCGTAGCTATCACCTTCATGAAGTTACTCATGTCTTTCTCCGGCCTCATCCAGTCACATCCTCTTCTTATGTCCTCGATTTTACAGCATACATCGAGAGTTTGCTCCGCCTGCACCATCCATGAAGATCCTCTTTTCAATCTTTGGCGTACTTGGTTTCCTATTTTCGGATGTAGAGGGTGACGTTCGTCTGCTGTTACTCGAAGGTAGGCCTTGACTTGTGCTAGCTTGTGTCAGTGGGTTAACGTTGGCAGGTCCAGCAGATGTCTCATCGCTGATGCTGCTGTATCATGGGTGCATCCAAGAACAGTTCTCATTCCTTCATTTTGAATGACTTCGAGGCGATGTAGTTGGGTTTTGGATAGGGTGAGCATACCAAGGCCATAGTCCACTACAGACAGTACAACCGCTTGAAGCATGATCATAAGGGTGTGTTGGGGCATAGATGCAGTCCTTTCCTTGCTCTGGTGATAATGTTCGACACATGGTCTTTTGCCGAGAGGGTGCGGTCAAAGGTAATGCCCAGGTACTTCAATTTCTCTTGCCTTTCCAACTGCATACCTTGTATATTGACAGTAGACATCATAGCGTTGACTGCCCTGTTGTTGAGACTGGTCCACAGTACCCCTGCCTTCGCTGGATTAAGTTTTCCATTGTTCTGTTCGCACCATTCACCAATTCGATCTAATTCCTCCTGCATGCTCCTTGCAATCAGCTCCCGATCTGTCCCCTGCCTATATACCAATACATCATCTGCAAAGCTTAGCGTACGGCCAGGTCCCTCCAATTGATTGGCTGTAAGACCGATGGTGTATATATTGAACAAGACTGGTGACAGGGCCGATTCCTGGGGCAGTCCAGGGGTTATGGTAGTAGGTTCAGAAGCCCAGCTGCCAAGGCGCAAGGAAACCTTTCTTTATAACAAGGCATTTCCTACCCAGATCACCTATTCAGAGTCGATTTTCATATTGATCATAGTTCGCATGATCAAGCTAAAGGGCACCCGGTTATAAGCATCTTCTAGATCTATTGCGGCGACTAGTGTCTCTTTTCCCTCCTCAAAACCGTCGTATATGTTAGAGGCCAAAATTGCCGCATTCCTCCAGGTGTCCTTACCAGGGCAGTAGCTGCCAAGTTCCACAGGTATCAAATTGTTGCGCTCCAAGAAATTGGACATCCATCTGGACACCATTTCGAGGCATTGTAGATAGCCTATCCTTGGATATTTAATATTTGTAAAATTTCCATCCGTAGGATAAAACATACGATTGAAAATGCTGAAAAGAACTGCGGTTCAGGGATTTTGCTTTCTAATTGAGACTTGATTATGATTCAGGATTCTAGAATTCTATGATGATTAAGATATATATGCGAAATCTTCCGGGGTTGCTTTTTTATTTTTTTGGTCTTTTGTTTATCCTCAAGTCTTTTTTTTCCTTTTGTAGCAAGGTCGCTAGATTTTTAGATTCTGCAAGTCTTGTGTGTTGGCAAAAGGTCAGAAAGGACATTATTATACCCAGTGTATTTTATTCAGATGGAGTAATGTTTCCGTCATGTAGATTCTGACTCTAGAATATGTAGTGGAAGAGTGAATTGACAGACACACAGAAGTTAATCAAATGACTGATGACAGCAAAGATAAATTTTAACAGCGCTATTCAATTATCTCACTCGATATTTTTGCCATTCCTGTATTGAGAGAAAGTCTTTTGTTCCATGTAAAATGATTTCTGAAACACAATTTGCCATTATGGCCAATTTAGCGAGATGTCAGTTCACATGATGACAATCGAGATCCCAATTAATTAAAAATTTTCACTTTTGAATGCTTTGTACATTTGTTTTTATATATATATATATATATAGATCTATATATATATATATATTTATATATATATTTATATATATATATTTAACAGAACAACATATTTTGTCAGTTATATTTCATTCATTTTTGTGAAAAATTTCATCTCTTTATTCTACAGTTCCTGTGATAGTTTAGCTGAAGACAGATCAAGAACCATGTCTGGATTTAATGTATCAGCGCGAAAAGAGGACATGTCCATGAGATTGCGAGCACAGTGAGTGAATGGTTCTCTTAACACTTTAACTTACACTAGACAAAAAAGACCTCACCCTGTACTGTATGCACACAATGCAAGCATAAAATGATTCATAGGCTACAATTGATCAGTGTTGACAGGCTACAATTGATCAGTGTTGCAGATGCAGAATCAAAATATTACGTATACATGAATAAATATAAAGACAATATGTGTCATGACACAATGGAATCAGGCACTCGTCAAATTTTGAACATGTGGAGTTATTGGTATCATTTTAAAGCTTGTTTATTTATCTTGCTTCATGTTAAGAAAATACTGATCAATCATAAATAGAAGTTGAGATATTTGCGACTGAAGGAGGTGGAGGTCGCCTGGTTTCAGAGGTAAAATTAGCGAGAAATGGCTGCGAAAATTTGGTGACTTCCAAAGCCTAAGAGTTCTAATTAGAAACTGCACATTTACATTTTAGTGCCTTAAATCAACATTTTTCGGTAAAATTCACTCTGAAATATGTTTTTAAATGGACCTTAAAGATGTTGAGTCAAAAAAGAAAATTTCGATTAAAATTGACGAAAAAGACAGAAAATGCCAGTTTCTTCTATTTCATTATTTAGACAAGCGCCTGATATCATCACGAAAATGCTTCACATATAATTACAATACAAACTTGAAAATAATAGGCGCTGGTCATTTTGTGTCTCACCCAGGGGCACATTCTTTCAGTGAATAGAAAAGGCTGTCACCATCAGTGAGTGCTTATACTGCTACGATGTGAGCCGGAACTCACTCTTCTCTCACTCTGGAAGGATCGGGATTGGGGGCGGGGGGGGAATCTCAATATTACTCAATAACCCCGAGGGGATGATGGGAGAATCCATCAGTGAAACTCCCCCTGTCCCCGAGTGGGCGGTCCCAGTATCCAATCAGATCACAGAGTGCTTGAAGCATTTCCATTAAATAATACGATCTCTTATGAAACCAAGAAGATTTATTGAGGCTATGGAGCAGTTGCCATGAGATTCTATTTTTCTTACTTGCACTAGCAGGCTTCTCGTGTGGTAGACATGTTTTTATTTGAATAAAATGTGAACGTCAAGAAATCGTTAAATGTAAAGTCATGTCTTAATTATTCTTGACTAATTATTAGTGCAAAATACAAGTTGTGTTGTGTATTATATAATTGTATTGGGACGGGAATTGATAACAGCTGTGGGTGGGCTCAATGGTTTTTATGAAAAATATTTGAATAAAAACGTAGTTCCATTTTGTTATAAAGTATGATTTAATCCAGTATGGTCTAGCTCTCATTTACTGATTAAACAAGAATGTGTACATTCTTTTTATCTAAACTACAGGACTGAGTTCTTGTAAGTAACATTTACGACGTGAGATATTAGTAATGCTCACTGTCAGTTACATGTCTGTACTGTGGCCTTTACCTTTCACCTATAAAGTCTGAACATTGTTAGATACAGTGTTTACTTTGGCATAATTACGAGGGCTGTCCAAGAAGAAAGGTGAAAATAGCCATAAGTGAAAAAGTAAAGTCTCTTTTTACAGTTGTCAAAGGGATGCAGAAGGCAGTGCACTGTAGACTGTAGGCCTTACTTATTGTCAAAGCTGCAGCTGCACCTCAGAACATACATATCTATGACTCGCATTAAATATATCGACCATGGTTGCAGAAAAGTCAAAGGTAGAATTCGTAGACCATAGAGTCATGCATTTTGGATACAAAAGGACAGAAGGAGAAGGGCCCAAAGATTTTCTATGTGTAATGTATGTAATGTATATAAGAAAATTTAATAAGTGGAAGTCCCATGTCAGTGGTGCCTCTTTTTTTAATTGTGAGCGCAAGATGAACCCAAAAAATTTCATAGTCAGAAACCAACATCCAGGGCATGCACTTATCCGTGAAGATAAGCAGTTGAGAGTTGCAGAGATTGCGTTGGATCTTGAATTTTTTACATCAGCCAGACATGAAATTGTCGTGTGGGCAGCTGGGGTGTTCTACTGTGTTGGCAAGATAAGTCTGAAAGCAACTGAAGAAATTAGAGACCCGCACTGTATCCTTCCCAGGAAGTCAAGATTGTTTCAGAATGCTGTCAGGTCTGCTGGGGTAATAGTATAGATTGTAAAGCACATAGAGCTTGCTGTTGAGCGGGTATTGCGCTTTACAAATGCTATTTATTATTATCCACAAAGTCCTATCCTTGCTCTGGCCAGCAGATTCCCTATTTCCAAACCCCTAAAGCAATCCTTTGCTGGAAAAGCACTAGAATTTACCAATGATTATAGAAATCTTATTGCAGAGGACGGAGATCTTGACCAGAATGTTTCCAAGAAAATATATTCCCTGATAAGCTGTTTTAGTAAGAGTTTTTCGTACTTTGCAGCACTATAAGGTCATATAAGTGCCGAAGTGTTTGAAGAGAGTAACATACACAGAAAAGGAGAGATAAGGACGATAGATGTTTGATAGGAAAGAAGGAGTAAACCACACCAGAGCACCCACCAACCACCCGCATAAGTTTAAAAAAAACAACAATATGTGGATACCATATTCAGAGGGGCCATAATGAAAAATAGCTTAATTGTTTCGATGCATAATATGTAAATTTTACACAGATCGGTATAAAATGATATGTTCAGTCAGTAGCCATTTTCGCCTTAATTTTTGGATTGCCCTTGTAAGCTGCACACTCAGCTCAGAACATTGTCCCGGCATGCACCAAGCTTCTTTTCTTAGCTTCTATATTTTTTTTCTCGTTTCAGATATATGTTTTCCTTTGTTATCTATATCCTCTGTATTTGTGTCTTTTGCTGTCTTACTGTTTGTATGATACAATGGTATTTTTGACAGCTTTTGGTGGAGAATTTTTATAGCTTGTCTTTACTGGCTTTGAGGATAAATTTAAAAGATTTGAAATATATTGCTCTTTTTCTTCAATTAAAAAAAAATCTTTGTTGGAATGACTTTGTATTTGGTCTTTGTTTTATTCATCTTTATTTCTGTAATTTCATTCTTTTATCGAGTTCAACAAAACGCAGCATGTTGTGGAATTGCTTTTTTTTTCTTCCCCCAAACGACTATGAGCATGACAAGTGCAATAGATTATAGAGATGATATTGCTGTTTTCTGATAGTTTGCTTCTAAGTTTGTGTTTTTTCTCTTTTTTTAAATTTGTGTGATGGAGAAATTAATTTTTGATTAATATTATTATTACTATATTTTTAAAAATATAGGTAGTTTATATGTGGTCACTTTTTAGAATCATGTAAAAGATGAAAGATTCAAAAGTGACAGTAGATTCTGCAAAATCCCTGTCCGTTTTGTGTAAGATATCAAGTAATTTTTATTGTTTTGTGTATTGGCAGGTGAAAATTTGCCCAATGTTATGTTTAGTTTCCTTTTTCTTGTAATACTCTTCCCTGCGTAATTGTCACTAATTGTGCAGCTGAGTACTGACAGTCTGTGACATTCAATCAGGACAAAAAGATTTATGCCTGCAGAAGAAATTTTTATTTTAATGGCGGTCTAGAAATCAAAATGAAGATGACAAAGAACATGTGGTAGTGTGGGCACTGTTTTTGTGAAAGGCCTTTAATAGATAGCAGTATTGTGTTCTTTTTCTTCTTTTTTGCCTTTTTGTCTTTCATACAGAGTGCTCTGTACAAGCAACTGTCTGTCTGTCTGTCCGTCTGTCTGTCTGTCTCTCTCTCTCTCTGTCTCTGTCTCTGTCTCTCTCTCTCTCTCTCTCTCTCTGTCTGTCTCTCTCTCTCTCTCTCTCTCTCTCTCTCTCTCTCTCTCTCTCTCTCTCTCTCTCTCTCTCTCTCTCTCTCCCCCCCCTCTCTCTCTCTCTCTCTCTGTGTCTCTCTCTTTGACTCTCTCTCTCTCTCTTTTGCATTTCTTACCTTTCTCTCTTTGTCTCCTTCAATTTCTGTCTATTGATTGTTTTCCTCTGGTTTGCAAAGCTGTTATCTTTTGAAGGCATGATGCTCTAAATACATGTACTTTATTGTGCCATGGAAGTGTTCATGCTATTATTATTTTTACGAAGGTCTTGAAGCTTCTCTTTTGATTTCATAGCAAATTGTTGAAATCTTCATAGAATACATAACACCATCAGGCAAAAGACAACACTTAGAGAATAATTGGGATGGGTGTGGGTTGTTTTTTTTGTGTTCTTTTTAATTGTTGTCTTTTTTCGATTTTTTTCAAAATATGTACATCATTGATGGAACCATACTTGGTGCTCATTTACCACTGTCAGTTTTTTCCTTCCCCTTTTGTGTTGGTATTTTCTTTGTTCTTCTGAGTGTGTTGTGTTTAATTGCCTCTATAATTTGGTCAATGGTGTTTATAATCAAACTTCAGTATCAGTCAATTTTAAGGATGTTGAAAGTCAGGCAAGAAAATTAAACGTGCAATCGTTTAATGGTAATGGTACAGTTACAAATGAAAAGAAAAATTGCTCAAGTATTGAAGGGTGTAAGTTTTGTGAGTAGGCTAGGGTAATTATTTTAAAATCTCATACGCTTCTCTGTAAGTATTTTCTTGTTTTGTTATCTTAATATAGTGGGTGGTTGGTAGGTGCTCTTGTGTGGTTTACCCCCAGTGGGTCGGGGGGATATAAATAGACCCACTGCTCCGCCAGCAGCAGGAGGTGCAACCTCTTCACTGGCGATTTGTCGCCCATGGACATCTACGCTCAGGTGCACATGGGCGACACTTGCTTTGGTGTATCGTCTGTCTTCTATCGAGAAAGAAGTGCCTTTCGGGCGAAGATGCTGACAATGTCAGCATCTGGGACTTACCAAAAAGAACGTCGTTGGGGTGGTCACCATTTTTGGTGATCTCCCCAAAAGATGAAAAGCAAGATACAAATCTCACTACACTAAGCGTTTTTAAGATACCCAAGTCCCTAAAACATTTCGGTATACACAAACCAAAATATATTTAAAAAACTAGGATCCACGGACCTCCTGATATAAGTCAGTTCCAGCACTGAATCAGGCAAACTGTTGGCCTGCACCTCGTTTGGTGGCATCCCTGTATGTGTTCAGCCTCACAGAAGTCTGAACACATCCAAGGGTGTCATCAAAAGCCGAGAGCTCTGCGGCTGTACGGAAGAAGAGATGGTTCAGGAGGTCGATGGAATTGTCCATGCTCGTCGTATCAAGATACGGCAGGATGGCAAGGAAATCTGTACCAACACGTGGATCCTTACCTTCAACACACCCACACCACCAACAAAATTAGACATTGCATACTTAAAACTCGAAGTTAGACCATATATACCCAAACCGATGCGCTGTTTCAACTGTCAGCGCTTCGGACACACACAGCTGCGCTGTCGTCGTGGTGCAGCGTGTCCTCGCTGCGGCAAGGAAGGACACTCTGGGGAGACCTGCTCTGCAGATCCCTGGTGTCCAAATTGTCGACAGGGGGGGTCACACTGCATCTTCGACGGAGTGTCCGAAGTAGTGTCAGGAGAAAGCCATCTTCACACATAGAGCCCAGTACGCCGGAACGTTCGCTCAAGCAAGAGCTACGCTATACCTTAAAGGATCGACGCCGAAGAATACAACAAAAACATATTCAGAAGTCCTGAAAACTGTCCCGGGGTCAGTAAACCCAACCCGAAAGGTCCTTCAGACATATAGAAAGCAGAACACCTGCAAAAAACAACAATCCAGTCTAGAGACGGAGGAGGACATGGAGTCCACTTCCTCCCCTCCTATCTCTCCCAATATCCATCCGCCATCTCCCCACACCCCCTCTTCATCACCACCCTCTCAGCCATCGTCTTCATCCTCACCCCCTTCATCATCCTCACCCTCATCATTCTCATCATCACCCCCATCATCATCTTCACCCACAACATCCTCACCATCATCATCCTCTCACAAATCACCACATCCTACACGCTCATTGCTTCAACCTCCATCCCATCATCCTTCATCCAATAATGCCCCTCCACTCACTCCCCACACCCGCTCCCCCTCCTCTACCCGCATCCGGGACTCCAGTCCTCCTCCCCCTCCACACTCTCCTTAAAAAAAAACTGCGGTCCACCGTGACCGCAGCAAAACAAAACAAAGACAAAGGTCACCTACGACCAAAACAAAAATGTACCGAACTCGTGCCCTCAAAATAAATAAAAATGGCAGTTCTTCAGTGGAACATTCGCGGGTTGCGTGCAAACCAGGCAGAACTCTCTTATTTTTTGACCTCACACACCCCAAATGTAATCTGTGTACAAGAAACTAAATTACCAACAACCACATTCACATTAAAAAACTATCAAACTTACAACCAAAGATACACCGACAACCAAATCGCCTCGGGGGGCAACTCTATTTTAATAAATAACCAAACACTACACAGACAAATACAACTAAACACAACACTTCAGGCAGGTGCGGTCATGGTCACCCTACACCGTCCTATAACAATATACATCCCTCCAAATTATCCTCTATCTTTAAGAGAACTAATAAACCTCAGAGACCAGCTCCCACAACCCTTCATCATGATGGGAGATTTTTAATGCCCATGGCCCTCTTTGGGGAAATGAACCAACTGTAAAGGTAAAATCATAGAAGATTTCTTAACAAAACCCAATACTACTAGTATTTTTAACGACAATTCCCCAACATTTCAAAATTAAAATAACCTAAACTTTTCATCCATAGATTTAACCCTATGTGATCCTGACATAATTCCAGACTTTCAGTGGTCGGTTCTGGACGACCACGCGGATCGGACCACTTCCCCATCAACCTAATTACAGACATTCCACACCGAACTCCTATCCCGGACCGTTTCAATCTTAAAAGAGCGGACTGGGATGGGTTTCACATGGAATGTCTGGAGAAACTCAATCCATCTCAAATACAAACACAAACTTTTGAACGATTTCATGAAACCCTTCTCGAAATCGTTCAAAAACACATACCAAAATTATCCACCAAACCCCGAAAAAATAAATGTTGGTTCACTGAAGACTGCCAAAAAGCTGTTGCGGGCAAAAAATCAACTCTCAGGAAGTTCGTCAACTCTAAAACAAACGAAGACCTTATTAATTTCAAAATTGCGCTAGCCCAAGCACGCAGAATAATCAGAACAGCCAAAAAAGCATCTTTTCGAAATTATGTCTCTAAAATAAACAACAACACACCAATGCACAAAGTCTGGAAGATGATAAAGAAAACCGAATAACTCCTTCGTAGAAACCGAAAAAACAGTAGCTGACTGTATAGCATCAACTCTTTCCGGAAATTCCTCTACCCACAATTACAACCCTGAATTTAAAAAAGTAAAAATGTCTTCTGAAAAGACAACTGTTGATTTTACCTCTTCAAATGAAGAAAACTATAATTGCAGCTTTTCTCTTAATGAATTAAAATGTAATATTGCAGAACTATGAAACACAGCTCCAGGCCCTGATCAAATACACAACGAAATCATCAGACGTCTTCCAGACGAAACACTCCTATTACTCCTTGATATTTACCATGAACTCTGGCATTCTCAACAATTTCCGAACAGTTGGCGTCTTACAACTATTATACCAATCCCAAAACCAGGAAAAGATCACTCTAACCCATCAAACTACCGTCCCATAGCCATTACAAACTGTTTCTGCAAACTTATGGAAAAAATTATTAACAAACGTCTAATGTGGTTTCTCGAAACCCCAAACTCCTTATCCAATTTCCAATGCGGTTTTCGAAAAAATCGCTCTACTATTGACCATCTCGTCCGACTTGAAACTTTCATTCGGGAAGCTTTCATTCGAAAAGAGCACCTTGTGGCTATTTTTTTCGACTTAGAAAAAGCCTTCGACACCACATGGAAACATGGTATTTTAAAAGACCTGCGTGACTTGGGCTTACGCGGAAATCTTCCCGAATTTATACGAAACTTTTTGAAAGATCGATCATTTCAAGTAAAAGTAGGTTCAACCCTATCAAATTTACACACCCAAGAAGAAGGTGTCCCCCAAGGAAGCATCTTATGGCCCATTCTTTTCGAAATCAAAATCAATTCCATCACAAAAACCCTTCAAAACAATATTGACTGCTCACTTTACGTTGACGACTTCCTGATCAGCTATAATCCAAATCCAAAATGGATCACATTGAACGTCAGCTTCAGCTTTAACTCCATAAACTGGAAACTTGGGCAAACAGGCACGGGTTCAAATTGTCCACATTATAAATAAACTTGGTACATTTTCGTCTGTCGCACAAGTGTATGCGACAAGTAAATTTATATTTGTTTGGAGAGAAAATTCCTGTTAAAAAACAAGCTCGTTTCCTGGGCGTAATCTTCGACAATAAACTTTCTTTCCAACCACACTTGAAAGACCTAAAGAGGAGGTGTCAGAGTGCTCTCAACGCCTTAAAAGTATTATCCAATCCTGAATGGGGAGGAGATACTGAAATACTTCTTCAACTTTACCGTTCCCTTGTCCGTTCCAGGCTGGACTATGCCAGTCGTGTTTACGGATCAGCCAGAAAGTCTTACCTTAAAATTTTAGACCCTGTTCAGAACCAAGGCCTTCGCCTTGCCCTAGGCGCTTTCCGTACTTCACCTGAAGAAAGTTTACAGGCAGAAGCGCATGAACCATCTTTAGAACTTAGAAGGAAAAAAACTCTCTTTGCAGTACGCTTTGAAACTTAACTCAGTACCCGCCAAAACCCAGCCTACAAATGTGTCTTTGGCCTTCCCGAAGATCTAAAAACTCTATCCTCCTTAGGAAATAAAGTAAGCCCTTTCGGAATAAGAATCCAGAACGATCTCAAAGACATTGATTTTTCTGAAGACATAATCGAGCCCTTTGCCATGTCCAGCATACCTCCATGGCATTTAAACAAACCAAACATAGATACTAGTCTTGAAAAAAACACAACAAAAAGTCTACAGACAAAACTACATACTTAAACTCATACAAACAGCTAATAAATAGATACCCTGAAGCAGAGAAACTCTTTACAGACGGATCCAAAAATGACTCCTCAGTAGGAGCTGCTGCCCTTGCATCGCCACACAGCTTAAGCTTAAGGAAACTACACCCAGAAGCTTCAGTCTACACTGCTGAGGCTACAGCTCTTGAAATGGCCCTAAATATTATAGATCAATCCACCAAGTCTACTTTCCTAATCCTTTCAGACTCTCTCTCTCTCTTGTTTGAAATCTTTAGAGCGCTCTGACACCTCCAACAACAGAATTTTAAAACTTATAATTAAACTGCATTTTCTACATCAGTCTGGAAAAACTATTACAATAGCTTGGCTTCCAAGCCATGTAGGCATTGATGTCAACGAATCTGAAAACAAAAATAGTAAAATCCCTTTCTCTGACATGAATCCGAAAGTAAAAGAACACATCACATCCTCCTGGTCCCAAAGTAAAAGAACACATCACATCCTCCTGGTCCCAAAGTTGGAATCAACAAATACACAAGAAACTCCATTACATTCAACCGAAACTTGTGTAATTTTTACCAGACTAAAGATAGGACACACGCACGTCAAGCACAAACATTTGCTCGAGGGAGAGGAAGCTCCTTTTTGCGTGGCGTGCAACACAAATTTCACAGTTCGGCACATCCTAACGGAATGTGTCGAATTTAATTATGTTCGTGAGAAATATTTTAAATGTAAAGATATTAAGACCCTTTTTGACATCGTAGACCCTAAGGAAATTTTAAGTTATATAAAAGAAATTGGACTATTTAATAGAATATGAGGACATATAGTTATCGTTATCGGTGTATATATACATACACTGAAATTAATATTGTATATACAAATGTAAATAAGCCTTTTCCATATTTACAAAAAGATTATTATAAATGTTTGTTCGTCTTTTTAGCATAATGAAAATAGTGTGATAGTGTGCGGTTGCGAGCTCCGAAAGACTCTTACTAAAAACACGTCTGATTTTGTAGCGGTGATTAACTGATTGATCTTTCTTTGTAACTCCAGAAATTTGAGGAATGCTCGCGATCAGACCAAACGATTGGAGGACGACAACCGCAAGATGGAGGACCGGCTCAGGGAGCTGAAGACAGCTATGACGAGGGAGAAAGAGGAAAGAGAGTGAGTGAAATGTGTTCTTTTTCTCTTTCTCTCTTCTGGCACTGTGGCGTCATAAGTGGTCAACGATGCCGACAGCATGCAGGAACTCTACACTTGCTCGCGGGCTCCTTAAAAAGTGCTGAACGTGGATCCCTAAATGTCCAAGCAGACGTGTAATGTCTTCCTGAGGCTAGCAGAGAGAAGAAGAAGAAAAAGAATAAAAGAATTAATGAAAGGAGTTGACATTAGAAATAGAGAAATATGAAAGGGAGTGAGTAAAACTTCATGGTTAATGAAATGAGAAATAAAAAGAGCGTCTCTGTGAAATAATTCTTTGAGAAGGAAGAGAGAGAGTAGAGGAAATTAGTTGTTAGATGAAAGAAAAAGAGTGACAAATTGTTGACATGAGGTACAAATGAGGGAGAGTAAACAGGGAAAGTGGTTGAGCCTAGGGGAAAAAATATAAAACAGTATAACAGTTAGTGTATAAACAAAGGAAAAAAGAATTAGTAAAACCGAGGTGTTAGCTCAGAGAAAAAAGAAAGAAAGAATGGAATTACATTTCTGAGGTGAAAGAAATAATGTTAAAAGTATGTGTCGGAAGTGATTATACAAGTTTTACATTAAAAAGGCAAAATTTTTCTCTCTTTTCTTGCAGACGTCAAGGCGGTGGGTTCTGGGGTCGAGGGCAGACAAACACAGGCTCGCTCACAAACTACGCCACTGAGGTGCTTCACAACAAGGCAGAGAAACCGCCCAAGGAAGGGAAAAAGAAGAAAGTGAAAGTGTTACAAGATCAGCCCATTGGTAGGACTGTGTTGCTTTGATGCTTTTCATATCGTTGACAAGCTGTAAAAATGTACTGTCCCTTGAAAGCGAACTTTTACTTGAAAGAGAAAAAAACATTGTCATTTTGATTTCTTTTAGCAACAGTATCTTCATTGTGTATTTTTTCTTTTCTTTTGTTTTGTTATATTTTTTTGCTGCTTCTTTCAACATTTAGAAATGGAATTTTGACAAAATTATTTCTTGAGTACATATAACCTATACCACATTCAAGTTGTTGAAGTGAAGGTAAATATTAGTTTGCTCAAAAAAGGACAGTTGTTTAAATTAGTTATACCTGAGGAAAAATGCTGGAGCTCCATTTGAAGTTATTCGAAAAAAAAGAAGGGGTGTTACCATTACTTTGTGAATCTTTAATTAAGGAAACAGTGTCCTTTTGAAAACCCATGGACTGCTTAAACTTTGCTTGAGGTAATACGTGGCAGTTTTAAATGTTTGGTTTTAGATTTTGTTGTTGTTGTTATTGTTGTTGTTGGAGGAATGAGAAGACACTACTCTTTAGAATCTTTGAAACAAGTTTTTGCAAGCATCATAAAGTATTTACGCCTTTATGGTCATCTCCGTGTATCATATACACACTGAATCATTTGCTTATGTATGTGTCATAATTGTACTTTTTTACGAGTTCAAATGGTACTTGTTTATGTCAGTGTGTATCTGGAGGTAGTTGTTAAACAAAAAGTAAACAATGCCTCGTGAAACATCAGCTTATTCCTCCTTTTCCATGAACTACTGTTTTGAAGAGAGACTCATTTCTTTGCAGCAAAATGTAATCAAGACAGCTCTTTTGATGGAATTGAAAAAAAAATGTAAACTCTAAAAAAACAACCTAAAAACTTTCTCCCTAACTCAAGCTCTACTCAATGCCTCCTGCTTGGTCTTTTACAGAAGTGCCAAAGAGAAGCAGCCAACCAGGCACAATGAAGTACATAGCCCAGAGAAAACTGACCTCTGGCTCCACGCCGCGGGACAAGCTGAAAGGCCCCCGGTGTGGCCAATGTGAGGACAGGACGGCCACGCTGGTACGTCATCACTGATCGATGCTAAAAACTTTGTTGGTTTAATAAACTACAGACTTCACCATAAGTTAAGGACCACCTTGACAGACAGCCCTGATTTTTTAAATTAAGAAAAAAAGACAGCAAGGAATGTTTCAAAATTTTTTGCTCTGAAAGTGTTAATGGGTTGCCAACGCGTATTGCAATGCTTCTAAACGAGGCAAAACAATCATGTGCTGCACGGAAATCCTCCGGGTATTTTAGCCAAATTTGCTGTTTTCTATCAACTTGTGTGCGACACCACGGACATTTCTGAGTTAAAATTTATGGTGCACGTCATAAATGGACATACTGTCTTGAACTGTGCTCACTTTGGTGGCAATATAAGCCGCTGTTTGTGCAAAATCCAGTATCGCTTCAACATACCACCAAGACGAAAGCTGAGAGACTTTGATCGTGCCAAAGCTATGGTATGGCTGCAGGATGGAGTTGGAGCCCGAGAAGTTGCCAGAAGGCTTGCTGTGTCACACTCTGTCATTGTCTGCCTGAGGCAGCACCATTAAGCCACTGGATCAGTCCAAGAACGCCCACGTTCAGGTCGACCCAAGAAGACCACTCGGAGTGTTTGCAAGTGGTCCTTTACTTATGTTGAAGTCTGTATATATGTCAACACCAAACTTGGATGATTTAATAAATCTATATATGCTAAAATAAACCCAGAGGAGGGGGGGGCCTTTAAAGTCTTACATTTTAAGTATGGTGTGTTTGTCTCCTTTGGGTTCACTTTATTCCAGAACACTTCACTAACTGACACCAGCACAAGAATAACTGCTTACCACACGTATTTCAGACAGCAACTGAACTTTATTACTCACCCCACAAGTCGCCACTGTGCATGTCCTTAAGTGACGAGAGGTAGCTCCCTTAAAGCAGGGGAGGACAATAATCTTATTTTGTCCCTTGCACAACGCGGTGGACATCATAATTTACCCAGGATTAGGCCTGCTTAACAGAATTGTTTTTTGTTTTGTTTTTTGTTTCCATTATGCACATCACATTATAAATGTGAGAGTGCTATGAATAAGAAGAACGAACAATCAAGACGCCACTTTATGAAATGTTTGAAAAAATTCTTAATTTGTCCTCCAACGTTCTGTACATCTCAAATGTGGGAGAGAGTTCCAATGTCAAGTTTTATGTTTTTGTTTTATTTTTCTTGGCAGAGCTGCATGCAGTGTTCAGAGATCTACTGCCCCGGCTGTTTCGCCGCCTTCCACCTCAAGGGTGCTCTCAAACAGCACAGGAGTGTGCCCATCAGTGTAAGCTTTTCTCTCAGGTAATGGGTGGTTGGTGGGTGCTCTCAGATAGTGGGTGGTTGGTGGGTGCTGTCAAACAGCACAGGAGTGTGCCCATCAGTGTAAGCTTTTCTCTCAGGTAGTGGGTGGTTGGTGGGTGCTCTCAGATAGTGGGTGGTTGGTGGGTGCTCTCAAACAACACAGGAGTGTGCCCATCAGTGTAAGCTTTTCTCACTCTTATAGATAGTAGGTGGTTGGTGGTGCTCTGGTGTCGTTTGCTTTTTCTTTCCTTCTAAACTGTGTGTCTTGTAGGGGTAAAGATACTTCATGAAAATCCAATTTTCTTGAAGCAGACTTTTGACAGGTAGGGTGGAAAATGATCTAAATTGTTTTGATGTACACATAAAACAACAGCTTGAAGAAAAAAATGTGTGAAGAGTGGGATGGTCATGAACCTTTTACTTCTCATTTACTCTCTCCCTGTACCATCATGTACATAAGGCAGAGAGCAGTCAATGCCACGCTTGTCTGTCCCTGGCCACCGTCTCCAGTCTTGACACATCCAGGCCCTGAGTGATTGCCTCATCTCTAATTGTTCCTCCTCCGTAGCTTCCAGTTGGTCTACCTCTTTTTTCTTTTTCCTGTTGGTCTCCAATATTATGTCTGATAAGGCAATCTTGTCTTAGAACATGTCCTAAATATCTCCATCTTCTCCTTTTTATGGTTGTATTGTTATTTTCAGTTCAGCTTGAACCTTTTGCATTATACCTGGATACCTGGTAGGGATGGGCAGGTACCCTATACCCAGTACTGGAACTCCCGGTTCTACCGAAGGAGGTGTCAGTACCGGCACCTGGCTTCCAGTACTGGCTCTGTGAAGGAGCCGACACCCAGACGCTCAGAGAGTAAGAACATATAGGCCGACACCAACTATTTTCTAACCGGGCCTCGGGAAGTGTGCTGTGTGTAGGCCTAGGCTTTGGCCTAGCAGCTGTGACGTCAGATGCACACAATGCTACAGGTGACCTTGATACATGACTTCAGATTCAAAACTGACCATCAAAAACGAAGTTTGCTTAAATTTGAATATAGCATCGAATCAGGTTTCACGCAAGCCACTTTGCTTATTTTGATATGCTGATTCCCAAAATGAAATCAGATTTTAGCGGCAATGATTATTTAAAAAATTCTACATGCAGAGTCTTATCCCGCATGGCGGCAGACTTCAAAGGTATTTTGCATCTCAGTTCGCCTCTCCAATTCTGACGCGTGTGTATGGGGGGGAGCGGGGATGCCAGCAGTGCTGATCGTGGTGTGAGACGCGAGACGCACGGACTGTGACGTCACCTCCTGGTGTCACTCCAAGTACCGGTACTGGTGGTTCTCGGCTCCCAGTACCGAGAAAATGTCGACACTGGGTTTCGCCGGTACTGCCCAGCTCTAATACCTGGAGGTGTCATCTCTGACTCATAGGTTGATGTGTAATGACCCTCCATCTTTCACGGTCGCGAGCTGCCATTGCGCATTCTGCCATATCCAGGCCAGCCCATGTTCTTATGTTGTCCATCCATGTTATTTTTTACCTTCCTTTGGCTCTCCTGCCCCACATCTTTCCTTCAAGCACCTCTTTCACAATGGTCTCGTTTGCTTTGTAATAATAGGAAATAAAGGTATAAAAAGTGTGTAAGGAAGAGGAAGTTTCTAATGTATGAGAAATGTTTTGCTCCTCCAGGCGTCGGGGCCCAGAGTGTGCATGTCTCCGAGTCCGTCCAGTGCTGCCCCTTCTCCCAGGTAATTTGTGTGTGTGTGCAGGGGGGGGGGGGGGACTGTGTGTGCGTTTGGGGTGTGTGTATGTGTGTGTATACATTTTTTGTGTATATTTATTTGAGTTTGTGTCTGTAGTACCTTCCAAAGTTGAATTTTTGTGAGTGTGTCTCAGTCTCTGTAAGATAAGGGTTCCTTCAGATGTATGTGTAGGGTCTTAAGTGTTGTCTTTTTGTCTTGCTTTTTGATTTTACGAAATACCTTTCTATCTTGAATAGCCGTAAATAATGATAAGGAAATGTAAAAAACCCCCACATTATTCTGCCCTTTGGACAATTCTTATCAACATTTTGTTTTGTATTTGGGTTGGGGGGGAGGGGGCTCAACCTCTTTTCTGAATGGTGTGAAAATCATAAACTGCTTTTAAATGTGAAAAAAACAAAAGAACTTGTTGTTAATTTTAGAATAAAGAAACTGCCCCTGCAGCCACTCGAAATTAAATGTGAAAACATGGAGCAAGTGTCAGACTATAAGTATTTGGTTGTTACTATAGACAACAAACTCAACAGGCGTGTCCACACTTCTCTCCTGCTTAAAAAAGTGAAGAAAAGACTATTTTTTATAAGAAAGCTAAAGTATTTTCAAGTTGATAAAATATTGATGTCCATGTTTTACCTTTCAACCATAGAAATTATGATCAATTTTTGTATAACAGCATGGGCCGGGAACACAAGACAACAAGATAAAGAAAAATTAAATCGACTAATGCGGAAAGCATGTAAAATTTCAACATCTACATTCCCCTACTTGGATGAATTGTACATAACAGCTTGCACTAAAAAAATTAATTCCTTCTTTTTAGACAACAAACATTCCTTGTTCCCTCAAATAAAAACATCAGTCAGAAGTAAAAGACCTAGGCTTCTAATTTGTAACAAAGTAAGATATAGAAGGTCATATTTACCATTATCTATCAAAATGCTTCCATCTTAACCATCTTGTATAAGTATACTTACGACCTTAGAGCATACATGAAAATAACATTGAGTGTGTATCTAGCTTACAATTATTATTGTTTATATTGCTGCTCATTTATATTAAATGCATGTGATTGTAAGCCTACGTGTGTGTGCATGTGTGTGCGGCGCGCGCATGTGTGTGTACATGTGGTGAAACATCAAACTAATGTGCCAGGATCTGGACAATAAAGATGTATCTTATCTTATCTTATCCATTTAAAAACACAATGTGGTTGCTTCTTTGTATTCTCTGCAGCTTGTTGGACAGTGGGTGGTTGGCGGGTGCTCTGGTGTGGTTTGCTCCTTCTTTCCTATGAAACATCTATCGTCTTTATCTCTCCTTCTTTTTTATGTTTTTTACTCTCTTGTAACACCTCTAATCTTTGGCACTTATATGACGTTATTGTGTTGCAAGTGCCGTAAAACAAAAAAAATTTTGATCAAAGACACATGAAATATAAATTTGCAATTTCCAAGGACTCTCAAGCTTTAGTAGTTACCAAATTTTGGCAGGTATCACAAATACCTTGACATTTATTCAAAATAGTAGGATTTTCATCAAAAGCAAGACAAATGAACATTGTGTGAAGAGTGTGCAAATAACTACCTATGCTAAAAAATTACTCAGCACCCGATTCTACCGCGTCGTCGTGACACATTCTGTTTTGTTTTGTTTTTCCCTGCAGAGGCGGCCAAGCCAGTGGTGCTATTGTGAGTCACACGGTGAGTGCTTGCAGGTTTGGTTTTTTGTTTGTTTTGTTTGTTTTGTTGGGTTTTTGTTTGTCTCTCAGAGCTCTGAGCACCGATATCTGCGCTCTCTCTCTCTCTCTCTCTCTCTCTCTCTCTCTCTCTCTCTCTCTCTCTCCCCCTCTCTCTATATATGTATATATCTCTTATCTCTCCCTCCCTCCCTCCCTTTTGGTACTGTGGCGTCATAAACGGTCAGCAATGCATGCTTGACAGCGTGCAGGAACTCAACAGTCGCTCGTGGGTCCTTGAACAGTGCCGTACGTGGGTCACTGAAATGTCCCAACAGAGCACTGACATCTGTCGTGGACGGGTTAGGAGCTTTCCACAGCATGCAAACGACATGAGTAAAATTGTAAATGGGCTAATTTATCAATGTCATGCTCATACTGTGCCGGAACAACATAGGGGGAACTGCTGCTTTATCTTTCCTCATCCTTACTATGGTCATTTTTTCCTCTACATCTTTTGTATGTTTGTCACTCTCTTGCAAACTGCTATTTTCGGGGGTGCCTTAATAGTCAAAGCACACTTTGTGCTGTTGAGGCTAGAGAGCCTTGGCTCTCATATGACCTTTTGCAGTTGCGAGCGTCGTAAAACCTTACTAAAACTAATTTCATCTCTCCTCAGATGTCCAGTGATAACGGTTCAGAAGCGTCGGGCCCCTCCCCATCCCACTCGTCTCCGAGAGATTCCGTCAACTCGCTTCTTCAGGGGAATTACGATGAGTCTCAGAGCGCTGCCTCCTTCCAGGCGGCACTCATGGCGTGGAGGCAGGGGGAAGAACCCTCGGATAGTTCTCCCGAACAGAGAAGCCCTCGCAAACCAATTGCTTCCCCTATCAAATCTCCAGGTAGGAGCTGGAGCTATGTCTTTTCTTATGGCCTTGCATGAATACAATCAAATCTACTCAAATGGCCACTTGTGTGAGACAATCACCTGTACAAGACAATCACCTGTACAAACTGCCACTTTCCATGTCCCCTCTTCTGTTTTGTTTTTTACATCGTAATGGTACTGTGTAAGATGGCCACCTGTCTAAGACAACCAGTTTTCTCCTTGACAATGTGTGACTGACTTAGACAATTTCCACTGTAGAATTCAAAGACAGACACTGGTTTCTTTCATTAATTAAATGTTTGAGTTATTGCTTCATTCTTATTTTTTTGTTAAATCACTCAGTTTGTCTTGCATCCTTTTGATAGATTATTTTTGGGATACATTTCTGTTTTTCTTTCTCATTTTCAAGTGCCCATTCATTCCGTCTTTCCTTTAGTTGATCACTTATTTGCTTGGATATCTTCCTATCTTTCTTTCTCATTATCAAGTACCCATTTTCATTCATTCATTAATTTTTTTATTTGCTCATTCATTCATTCATTCATTCATTCATTCATTCATTCATTCATTCATTCATTCATTCATTCACTCACTCACTCATTCATTCATTCACTCATTCCCTCATTTCCTCATTCCCTCTTTCAGTGGTGGCAGTAGATGAATCCACGGGCACCGTAGAGGAGAGCAAAGCCCTGGAGATCAAGTTCACTCACACGCTGTCGTACGCCGAACGCCTCATGCTGAAAAAGCATCGGAGAACCGAACTGGCCGAGATGCATACCCCCCGACTGGAGGGTCAAGGTCAAGCGGGCATGCCAGAGTTGTCCCTGCGGAGTGACCGCCATGAGAGGAAGTTGTCGGGGAGAGCATCGGGCCGGCCCGGTTCCTCGGGCCTTTTTGCGACTGGCCGCTCGGTGAATGCTGGGAGATCTGAAAAAGACATGACTGTCAGTCGCCAGGATACAATGATAGGTACAAATGATCGGAATTTTTTTTTCTGTATTTGTTTTGGCTTGACCACCGAGATAGTGGTATCTGTAGTCTAGTGGTTAGGCTACCAGACTCGTTATCGTGAGATTGCGGTTTCGGAGGTTTGAGACTTAGCTCGGGCTGGCGCTGTGTCTTAGGCAAGACACTTTACACGAATCACGGCGTCACTTTTTGCCCGATTCTGTTACTTTTAGTTCACGTGACTCAGCAGCCCGCCGGAGCTCCCTGGCTCGGGGTCACGGGGTTAATGAGCCCTGAAGCGACTTAACCGGTGTCGGTTAGGAAGTTCGCATTTTTGACTATGTCTAAAACGATATAACTTCTTCCCCATCCCACATAGCAAACCATTACGCATATGTACTAAATACTCAATGTCTTGAGATTTATTCTGCTGTAGAATGGTTAATTTCTGTGCCTTAGTTTTTGTTCTAGACAAGTGTTTGTAGAGTACCCAATTTGTTCTATTTTAGTTACAAACTTATGAATAAATGATTGTTAATTTAAAAAAGGTACGACAGATCTCTCCAAAATCTGTGTTAAACTGACTACGAATATCATGTCTTTTACCATGAGAAATCTTAAATCTGCGTGAGTGGAAATAGTCAAGTCATAAGAGAAGAAAGATGCACATCTGCATTTTTTAACTAAAGACGATCAGCGTTAGCTCTTATTTTACTGTTAAACAAGAGAAAGTTACTCTGCGTTTGTTCATGAATCATGCTGTGTCTGTGGCAGCCTGCATACAACTAAAAAGATATAATATAAGAATCTAAGCGATTAAAAAAACCACAAAACCGTGTAAAAACATGGGTAGAGATAAACTTCTTGTATGGAATAAAAATAATGACAGCTAACACATTCATTCTTAGTTTTTGTGTCGGAAATATGCGCGGACACAATTATGAATGTAAAGAAATCAGTCACATTGTCAGTTATTGCAAATGGTCATAGAAATGAAAAATAAAGCTGGAAAAGTCTGGTGCTGATTCAATGTCCCTGGAAAGCTAGAAATTATTCTTATAACCCAATTACGAGAAGTCATCCCTATTAATCAGTCAACTTACAAAACCCAGACTTAGCGTTTTAAGAAAAGTAAGGAATTTCTGGAGTGTAACTGATGCTGTTCGTGTATTAGATCTACATTGAAGATGTATTCTAGCACTAAAATCGATTTGTACTTTTCATAGAGAAACTTCATGGTGACTTTTATAAACTTTCGAGAAATTATGCGAATATTCACGATTATTTTAGACACATAAAGTTGTATTTGGAGGAATTACTTCATAGTGAATTGTGTGCCAGATGGATAAAGTTGCAAAATTACAGCTTTCTATTATATGCGCAGATACCATCTTTTCTGAGTATCTGCACCAATGCTATGTCGTTCGTGTTCCAAAAGTTTGACAGATTTTGACGAGGCCTTTTTTTAATATTGATTTTTTTTCATTCACGCTAGTCCCAGAAAAATTACAATTTAGCATTGCCGACTAACGAAATAACCAGACAAGTTACAACGTCCGTTCTTTTTTGAGTCTCAAGAGCAAAAATGCGTGCTTTGGGTGCACTAAATGAGAATTACCAAAAATACAAGGATACACCTTAAATTGTACGTTGAAAAGTACCAAAAATTAAGTCGGCCCAGACAGAGCGGCGACAGGGAACTGACCCCCATGACCCCGACGTGATAAGGCGCCCGGCGGGGAACCCCGCCGCGGCAACTAAAATTCACTGCCAGTGCGCCATGGAATTATTCACATTTGGCTAGGTCTTGTAGAGATGGAGATAAGATTTAGAGTTCCTGCCTCCTAGAAAGCTCATGGGTCTCATTATTCTGCTATTTAGCGAATCTCTGCTACAGCCATTTCCTCTGCTAATCTCCGCTACCCAGTAATGCACCACCACTTTCTGTACATAATCAAGATTGAAAATATTTTGTAAGTGACTCTTTCACTTGAAATTATCTTCCAAACCCTCAAACTTATATATACTAACCTTGCTTTGATAAATTGATGGTTTTTATTTCAGTATTCTAGGGTTAAACAGTATAATAATAATGGATGTCTAGCAAAAATGGTCTTCTGTCGCGGCCATGCTGAAAGAAAGTTCCTACTTTTTTAAAATTCTCAGTTGAGACCCATGAAAACCTCACAGTGTTGCATGCAAGGGGTGTGAAAACCTATACAATTTTGCACTTTTTCACTCAACTAGATCTGGGACTTGTCGCTTTCATTGTGGAAGGATTTGTGGTTAGATGGGGGACAAGGGAAAGACCAGGATAATACGCATATTTAAAAAAAAGATTCTAAGCAAAGAAATAAATGGCAAACCACAATTGCCGATGTCCGTTTTTTTTTGGGGGGGGGGGGGGATTTGGCACTTTGTGGTAAGGATAATGCTTTGTCTTTTGTGTTTTTTGCAGTTGGGGAATGTAATTAGATTAGTATTTCGGTACTGTCTTTTCAAAATGTACCACTGAGTAACAATCAGGTGGATGTCTGGGAAGAAAAAAAGGATGGCGGTGACTTTAAATTTGGGCTGAAGGAATTTTATGAGTGAAAGAGTTGGAAAAAAGGAACCTCTTCTGAAGTTATAAAAAAAAGAAAGTCTTCTCAGCTACATAAGTCTCATTTGGACAGGTTGAAAGTCACATATTATTGCTGTAGCTGAAAAAATTACTTTTTTAAGATAAGATAAGATAAGATAATACTTTATTATCGCAGAGGGAAATGTTTCTTGGCTGTACAGGACCGTAAAAACACATGCAGGTATGTATACAAATTTAAATTATATATTACTCTCATTAAAATTCAATATATGAAAAGAGAAGTAAAGTTAACAAAATGTACATATCACATCAGATGCAGCGTTCAACCACTCATTTAAAACTCATCGTGTAAAGTAACAGGAAACATTCTTTCCTTTTTCTTTCTGCAGTGACAATATACTAACTGGGACTTTGCATTAACCCTTTTGTATTTTCTCTCCCCCCCCCCCCCATAGATGACGAGGAGAGAGTGGACTTTCACGCTTTGTTTGACGCCGTCGTCGCGTCCGAGTCGCCGGACCAGAAAGCCAGGACAATCTCATCTCAGTCGTGCGTCTCTGTCACAGAGATGCCCTCAGACACGGTCAGTGGTTCTTGTAGTGTGCACACCTGCCAGGTCATCATCATTGACTTTTTCACCCTGCACTAGGGTATAGGCCACGGACAAACACTTTCTCACCCTGAACCAGGGTATATAGGCCACGGACAAACACTTTCTAACCCTGCACCAGGGTATAGGCCACAGACAAACACTTTCCACCTTTCCCTATCCGGGGCTAGCCTCTTGGTGTTATTCCATGTCTTCCCCCTTTTCTGTGCATCAATTTCTGTGATTCTTGTCCAGGTTCCACGCGGTCTTCCCCTTGACCTTTTACCATCTGCTAGGTGCTCCGGTAAAATTGGTGCCGTTCGATTTTATCTGACCGGTGAAGAACATCAATCTAATTTGCAGAAAATCCTATTCTTTTCTTGAATTCTGTTTCCATCGGTTTTAGACAATTTATTGTAAATTATGTTGAAATACACTGGTTTATTTGCAATATTTGGGGAACTTGTTATAAATGACGTGAAAATAAACATGTTTATTTTCATGTATTTACTATACACATTCACTATTTCAGTTGATAACATTATTTTGATTTACTGTGGTTGTGGAGACGGATTTTTTTACCCCAAAATCCGAGTTTTAGGGAAGATTCTGAGGAAAGCTCTTATCTTTGTTCATGGAGGTGTTGCTGGGTCTGGGTATGTGCCAGCCAGTGAGGGAGAGCTGCCTCTGTCTTATTTGTTGCATTTCAGCTTTTACCAAATGTGAGGCGTGCTGACTAAGCATGCTGTCTCCTGATTGTCTAAACTGTGTTGAGGGGGGCGTCAAGCATTTACAATCTATCGATTTAGTTTAGTTTTAGTAGAGGTTTTACGGCGCTCGCAACTGTAACAATCTGGCAATGAAGTTTTTATCAGTGGAGTCCTCCAACCACCCACGCTCTTTATTCTGAGACTAGATGCTTTTTTTTTAAAAATTATTTTTTTTATTGAAAGTTAGAAACAGTGAAAGATCTTGTCCGTTTTTTAGTGATTGAGCACTAAATCAGCTGCTTTCACTGTATGCTTCCTGAAAAGCTGAGAATGTTTCTGAGTGTTCTATTGTCTGCTGGGGTAATGATATAGTGTAGAGCTCATAGAGCTTGCTGTCGAGCGGGGATATGTGCTATACAAATGCTATTTAAAAAATTATTATTACTATATTTTCCTTGTGTTATACAGGTGACTACGTCAGACGTACCCAGATTGAAACCGTCAGCCACATACGTCGTGGAGGAGGTGTCTCCCTTTGAGTCATGGAGGACTCAGCACAAGAACAAAATGTATGTTCCATGCGCGAGAGAGAGAGAGATGGTTCACTACTTACTTTACTTTTTTTGTCCTCTTATACCGTGAGGTGTCGAGGGGAGATGTTGGCGGGTGCTGTGGTGTGGTCTGCTCCTTCTTTCCTATCAAACATCTATCATCCTTGTCTTTTTCCCTTTTTTGTGTTTGTTACTCTCTTGTAACACATCTAGCCTTCAGCGCTTATATGACCTGATTATGTTGCAAGTGCCATAAAACTCTTTACTAATACTATAATGGAGATGTTGGATGTGGGTCAAGTATGTGGGCTCTTTAGATCGTCATGTTCTTTCAAAGGTCTCTTTGACTCAGAGATCCATCTTGTTCCTGGCAGTCCTTCTCGATGTACTTCATGCTTAATTCAACGCCCACTTGTTGTTTGATGTCCTCGTTCCTCCGCTTGTCTCTTCTCTTGGTGTTTTATCACATGTTAGAGATAACGCTTGATCAGCCGTATTCCAGGAAATTGTGAGTGAGGACTGAGTGTGTGTGTTTGTGTGTTTGTTTGTGTGTGTGTGTGTGTGTGTGTGTGTGTGTGTGTGTGTGTGTGTGTGTGTGTGTGTGTGATGGGGTGGGGGGGGGTAGAGGGGAGGGGATTATTGTTTGTGTTTAACAGTCACTTATCACCACTGCGCTAGCAAAACGGCACCTCTCCTTTTGCTACTTTCGAGATGAATGGAAAAAACTGTTTAACTAGACTATTTATTATCTTATTATGGTAGAACTTGCCTTGCATGTTTCTTTTGTGACTGGCAGCACATTTTTGTTTTGAATTTATCAAAAGATAGATGTAGTACCAACAAACAAAATATATGACGCTTGCATTTTGGAACAACTTTGAGTTATGCCATTTTGCTAGTGCAGTAACGATATGAGGGATGATATATTCTTTGGTGTGTTATCTCTACTTTTATCTTTCTGTTATTCCTTCTTCTTCTCTCTTTTTTATATCTTTGTTCTTTTCCTTCTTCTTCACCTTTACCATTGGGTAAAGTGGTCTGTAATCAAAATGACATTTATTTTTTAAAACCTTTTAAAAAGAAACATTTGAAATCTATGGGGGTGCTCTCATGTTTTTTTTAACCTTCTGCGATCTTGCTTCAGGGGACCAGCTTCTTCGTCAACGTTTGTGATAGACGGGCCGCAGAAATCCCGAAGCGACGACGCGTCACAGAGGAAAAAAATCAACACCATCACCGAACTCTACACGGTGGACGATGATGTAGTCGACGGCTCCGCTACCCCTTCCAGACCAACGCACAGCCCAGTCAGCGGATCTGACGGCCGTCACTCAAACTTTTCCCACCCTGAGCCGGACAGCGATTTTAGCATAGGCTCGCGCCACGTCCAAAATAAAAGTCAAGCGGAGCAGAGAAAAGATCCTAGTCTGGGACAGGAAACCGTCGACGTGTTCGGCGAGAATGAGAAGCCACTCAAGACACCGAGGGCAAAGTCTGCGAAATCACGTCCGACCTCGTCTTTGAGCCGGGCCAACAAGTCAAGGCCAGGGTCAAGGGCACAGAGCCGAGCTGGATCAAGGATGGAGTAAGGATTCAGATTTTTCTATTTCTCATGTTTCTGTCAAAGTTAATGGGTCAAACATTCTCTTGATATGTCATTTTTGGGGCTTACAATCTCAATTATTACTTTAAAAGTAAGTGTTATTCAAATTTAAAAAAAAAAAAACACACACAAAAAAACCCAGTTGTCTCAAAATCGTTTGCGTGGAGAAAAATACCAATTATATTTCCTGATGTTTCTAATTTTGTGTTCAAAATTTGTTTTTTAACACCAGGGATACAGATTACATTTATCTGTGATATATTGATATTTAGGTTTTATATAATATGTGAGACATCGTGGTTAGATTAGGCGCTCGTCAAAATAATGAAATCCGAGAAATCGGCATTTTTCGGCCAGTTTGGACATTAAAAAAATATGTTTTGTTTTTTGGCTCAACACCTGGTATATCCATTCAAAAACACTTTTATGTGTGGATTTTATGGAAAACGATGGTAAGAGGTACAAAAAATGTACATTTGTAGTTTCCAATGACTCTAAATCTATGGAAGTCACCAAACTTTGGACGCCATTTTCTCACAAATTTTATTTCTGAAACCAGGCGACCCCACCTCCTTCAGTCACATATATCTCGACTTCTGTTCAAGATAAATGGATATATTTTTTCATCAAAAGCAAGGCAAATGAAAAACCTTTAAGACGATACCAATAGCTTCATATGCCCAAAAAATTGACAACAGCCTGATTTCACAGCGTCGTGACAAATATCCAAATACAATTTCATTTTTTTCTCTCTCAAAAACCTTCAGAGTGGAAGGACTCCTCACAAAGACCCCGAGCGAAGCCCTGAAGAGGATCGTCCAGATGGAGCCTGCCGCAGAGTACAGCTACAGGTCGCCCATGGAGGATTTCTTCTTAGTGGGCGTGGAAGGGGAGCAACCCAAGCCTGTGGAGAACCGCGTCCTCACCCCGTCCAATGCTCGCAAACCCACGTCCCGCCCAGTTAGTAGGGCCGGGGCAAAAAGTGCCACGTTGGAAAAAGCCACCGTCAAAGTCAGCTACAAGTGTAAGCTTAATGATGATGATGATGATAATAATTATAATAATAATAATTACAATAATAAAAGTAATAATAATGATAGTAATAATGATGATGATGATAATAATGATGATGTTGACAGAAATAATAATAATTATGATAATTATAATAATAAGAAGAAGAATTTCATTTCTTCAGCTTACATCCATTCTCAACAACACGCTGTATGCACTTGACAACTAATATTACCCCAGTAGACAATAAAACATTCAGAAACTTTCTCAACTTTCCAGGAAACATTATTATTATTGTTTTTTGTTTTTTTTAACTATTATTATTATGATTTTTATTATTATTGTTATTATTATTATTATGATGATGATTATTATTATTGTTGTTTTCAGTGTACCAAATGGCCCCGAGAAGTTGGAGACCTGACAGCAGCCTGGGGGAGACTGTGCCCGTGGACCAGGTGAGACTGGATGCTCCGGAGGATGAGGAGATAACTCTGTCCTACTCCTACAGCCGCCAGCTCGACGGTCATGCTGTGGACGTGCGCACCGATTCTAGTCTCAGCAGGTGAGGGACATGTGATAACAGGCCGGGTACACCCCTCCACACCCCTCCCTCTCCCCTACCACCCCGCCTCCCGAAAACATTTTCTCTCCCCCACACACACTCACAACCGGGTACCCCCCCCCCCTCCCCCCCAACTCCAGGTCCATTTTCCACCCCCCCCCCCCCCCCCCTCAAGATACACCCCCACCCCTTCCCAGTACAAGCCCAGAAAGCAAAATTTCGCATGGGAGAGAAAACAAAGTGTTTAGTTCTTTTAATTATTGTTCCTGAAGAATGTTGTTTTGGTGTTTGTTCTTTTCAACATTCAAAATTTGAATTTTGATAAATTATTTTTAGAGCGCGTGCAACTGATACGATAGATTTAAAAACTGCATCAAAAACAATTTTCCAAATGTTGTGCTTTTAGCATTTGAACAGCAGGCAGAGGATATGTAAGCAGGTACTGTGCCTCTCACCATTCCCAAAAGGGGGATATGAACATGTTCTTATGCACAGTAGAATTGTAAATGGGCTGATTTATCAATGCCATGCTCATACAGTGCCAGAACAGCATAGGGGGAACTGCTGCTTTTTTTCCCCTCAGCTTTACAATTGTCATTTTTCCTCGACATCCTTTGTATGTTTGTCACTCTCTTGTGACCCGCTACTTCCTGGGTGCCTTGATAGTTGAAGCAGACTTTGTTCTGTTGAGGCTAGAGAGGTGAGCACAGTAAGCCTGACTCCCCGTTTGGACTTCTCTGTTGACATACACCCCTTGGAGCTCATATGACCGTATGCAGTTGTGAGCGCCGTAAAACCTTACTAAAACTAAAAACTATACTGTGCCTCTCTCTTGCATGTAGTAGTAGGCTTTATCCTGACAGATTGCAGGTTTTTGTTGGTTTGGCCTACGTCTTATTTCCCGTGGTGATGGTGTATGTGGCTAAATAGACAAAGCTTGCGACAAAATAAATGCTGATGATAGTAAATGCGAGGAAATGATAGGTGTTCTGTGGGGGTTTTTTTCATCTTTTTGTTTCTGTTGTTATGTTGCTCCTTTGCTTTTGCGACTAAAGCAAAGAGGAAAAAAAATTTTAATTTCTCAAATTCATATCTTTGTTTCTCTCTTTAGAGTTGATATGCCGTCTGATGACCTTGGCCTTAACGCTGTTGGTGTTTTCGGCGACGAACTCTTCACTGACCTGGCAGCCGGCACCCCTACTCCGAGGGCCGTGTCAGCCTTAAGGTCAAGGCTGAGCATGGACCGGGGTGATTCGGCAACTCCTGTAGCTCGGGACAGTCCCGTACCCTCGTCGCGTCTTTCGGCGCGGCAGAAGAGCTTGGCTCGACGCAGCAAGGATACGGCCACCCCGACCAACCAATCGGTGTTCCCCGAGGAGCGAGTCCCGACGCCTCCCAGCTCTAGTCACGGTGCCAGAATCGGGTCAGCAACGCCTGTGCGAGACCGCCTGCGTCGGAAAAGTGACATGAGAAGAAACAATGAGAGCACCGATGAGGGGAGGGACTCTGTGACCCCAACACCCGTCGCTACACGTGAAGGTCACCGCATTCTCCCTTCTCGACCGGGGTCTCAGCATTTTAGAAAAGAAAAATTCGGAAATCTTACCGACTCTGCCAGCCATAGAGAACACAGTCAAATTCAGGCGGATTCAGGGAGCTCACGGCATAGCCCGCGAGGCGCAAAATCAAATGTTGGCCGTGAGCTCAGTGGTTTGTCTCGACAGGGAACAGCAGATTCATTCAAAAGCTCTCAGCAGCGTCCTGTTTCTCGCCACACCTCGGATGTTTCAGTGACGCGGCGGCCAATCAGCTCCACCCACTTCCCCTCGTCTGCTCAGGCCCGAACGTCTCAGCAACAGTCACAAGACCAGCGGCCCAACAGCTCGACAGGTAACACAGAAATGTTTGTATTGCAAGCGCTGTAAAACTCTCACTAAATCTAAACTGTGGGTCTGTTTTTTCTTTCGGCCCTCAGAAGGATATTTTCACTTCATTATGTGTCCATGAAGTTATTCATCTAACAAATATATCAATAGGAGGCTCTCACGGCCTAGAGGTTAAGGTTTTCGCCTCTCATTCAATAGGTCCATGGTTCGAATCCAGATTCTGATAGGGACGGAACATTTTCTTCTCTAAAATTTTCTGCTTTCACATCCTTTCTTGCTCTCTAATAATGTTATGTCTTCTGCTTTCATCTCTACTTTCTGCCCTCACCCCTCACCTCCTTTGCCCCCTCCTCTGGACTCCTTACTCTTTCTGCGGCCTTTCTACTGCTACTCCTTGGCTTCTTCTTACACATGCCGTTAAACTTAGAAATGACGCATCTTTCTGATTGGCTGATTATTTTAGTAATGTGATGTCATCATTTCCTGGGATACCCAAACATGGAACGACGTGTTTTCGGTAACATTTCAGATTTTCTAGATCTATTAGGCCTACCTGGACATGATGGAAGACCGCACGAAAATTGCCGTAAAGACGCAGGAGGACTAGATAATATCTAGATCTAGATCTAGATATCTAAATTTAGATCTACCACCCCCCCCCCCCTCCTCCTGCATTTTAAATCACTAATACATTTTAAAAAATAAACAACAACTTCAAAGTCAAAGCAACTCTACAAATTAGGCCTATAATTTATGGAACTGTTGGTCAGTCGGGAGGAGAAAAAAACTGTCCGGGACCGGAATCGAACCGCTCCAAAAGTCATTGCTCGACATCAAACGCAGACGCGCTATCAAATCAGCTATCAGAAATTCCGAGAAATTTGTGTAGATTAAGCATAATATAAGACACTTCCATCTTTGGTGCCATGCGGTTGTCTATACTTAGATGTAGTCACGTGATCGGAGGGGTATCCTGGTCTGACGTCAAACAAGATGGGCGCCTTACCTAAAAATAGTTTGCATCATTTCTACTTTTAATCGCATGTTCTTCTTACTGCTGTCTTTCAGCTACTCCCCTGATTTTCTGGTAGGAAAGATCTACACCTAGCCTTCTGGGACAAGGGTGAAAAATCTCTCAGAGGTTTCATGTTCAAGTTGCGCACCTTAAAGATCCCTTGGTGGTCCAAAATCGATAAGAGTAGGTTTCGGCTGCCAAAATTTCCTACCAACTGAAAATGTTTAATGTGTCCCGCCCACTCATATGACCTTATGCAGTTGTGAGCGCTGTAAAATACGTACAGTACCAAAAAAATATTAATTTTTTTTAAAAATATGTCAATACGATGAAAAAACACCAATATTTATCCTCTTTACTGCTGTGCAGATATATTCTCAGGTGGTTAGGTCAGTAGCGAGTTCAGACTCAAAGGTGATGTCAAACAAGTGTCAGTGACACGAGGTTTAGGTTGGTGGTCACTGGGTTTGGCCTTTAGCAAGACACGACTACCTCAGCTAAAAAAAACCAGGGCGCTGCACAGTGGCTTCCAGCAATGGCATGTTTGTGAAATTGTTCTGTGTTGGTGTAATATTATGCATTTATGTATGTATTTATAATTATGTATTAATGATTATGTATTTATGTATTTTTTGTTGTTGCCATTGTAACCCAAATTTCCCCATTGGGATCAATAAACTTTTTATTTATTTATTTATTTATTTATTTATTTATTTATTTATTTATTTATTTATTTATTTATCTATTTATTTATTTATTTCTATTTTGTTTCTACTGGTACAAGCAGATATTTTTGGAGAAGAAATTTAAACTTGTGCAACTGTTTATTCTTAAATAAGGAAAAGGATGCTAGCTCTTGAACGAACATTCACCATTGCCTGTAGAGACGTAGATCTGTGGAAACGCCTAGCAATGAAGGGATTCACATCTATTTTTCCCTGACAAAAATTTTTTTGATCCTTCTTTCCTATCAAACCACTATCGCCTTTATCTCCCCTCCTCCTATTTTGTGTTTGTTTCTCTAATGTAACACCTCAGATCTCCAACACTAATATATGACCTAATTCTGTTGCAAATGCCGTATAAAACACTTACTTACTTACTGAAACAAAAGCAACAAATTTCCACCAGGTGGTGCCGATCAGCTGAGAAGGACACAGCCCACTGCCTTGTCGTACAGTCGCGATGATCACCCAGACACCGTCGTCGCTGACCTCATGATGTCCCGCGTCCGAGAGGACAACTGGATGAGCGGCTCGGATGATGGATCAGAACTGGACAACAAGCTGCAGGATAGCTCGAGTTACGCTGACAACGACATCAAAGCGCAACCGTCCTCCTCGTCTAGTTTACAGAGGAAGCTTCAGTCTCCGGCCATTTCTGGTACAAAAGAGAGACAGCACTGGAAGGTTGACAGCAGCCACTGGGAGACGGAGGTCCGGCCGTTCAGCGGGGTCAGCATGGACTCTAGGACCGGGGGGTCACCTTCCCCGTCCAGGGTCAACTCAGCGCGAGAGGTCAAAGGTCACGACCGGTCCATGTCGAGCTTGAGTCGAGCTAGCGGGAGGGAGTCGCGGGCTGTTGGTGAGTACAGTCGAACCTGCTTTAACCTTATCCGTACATCGTGTTTTTACTATCGTATCCATATGACGTGGGGAACTCTGTGCCACCATTTAACCGTATCCGTACTTTGTGTTTTACTATCGTATCCATACGGCGTGGGGAACTCAGTGCCACCACTTTCCAAAGAGGAAATTTACTCGTTAATCCGATCCCTTCGCTTTGCATAGCAGTCTGTCAAAATGAGTTTTTGAGAAATACTGAAAGTTTCAAAGAGATCTTCGTACTAGAAGTATTCTAAAATGTGAAGAATACAACCCTAAGGGTACAAAATGACCCCAGGGCATACGGATAGGGTTAATGACAACCTGTATAAGACAATCACCTGCTCTAATGGCCACTTTACTTTGCTTTACTTTACTCTACTTAGCTTTTCTTTACTTTACTTTTCCGATCCAGCGGCCATCTTGGTTCTACCCCTTCGGCCTGTCGATATGGCAAAGAATTTACAGGTTTTTATCAGCTGTGTTTTGTCGCTGTATAAAGTATTTCCGATATCTGGGGAGGCAGGTAGGAAGGTAGGTGCTTCGGAGGTCGCTATGTGCACGGCAGGAATACAGATGGTGTGATACTGTTTCATCGTGGCAGTCACACAACAGGCAGTCGGGTGGGGTATCCTTGTGGATCCTATTTAAGTTTAGAATTCAGTGGCATGGGATGTGTTGTGTTCACAGGCGAAAGATGGTGACTTATTCTCTTCGGGTCAGGGAATTTAGTGCATCTTTTGGTCTTTACTCCAAAATGTGAATATATAATGTTATCGGATCTGGTCAGGGCGGTTTATTAGCCAGACTGAGGGTGCAAAGCAGCTATCGTGGCACAAGCCGATCATGTCCGATTCGTCACCTAAAAATTAAACGCGTTTGTTTTCAGGCGACGAGTGGGGCTATTGCCCCCGCCCCGCCCCAACCAGACCTGATCCCATCCGCAATGGGCACCCCGTACTACCAAACTGAAACTGAATATTTACTGCTTGCGTCTATTCCAGTGATGGAAGGCGAGGACCTGAGTTGCTATGACGACATGGGGGTCAAGGACGAGCAGAACATGGAGGACAAACAGGCGCTGGACCAGCTGGAGTGGGAACTGGCGTCTGACACGGGGCGCCTCACGGGTCAGTTGTGTGTCTTGTGTGTCAGTCTACACAGGGCTTCTACATGATAGTGTTGATATTGATGATGATAATATCAATAATAATCATATAACAACAATAGTAGTAATAATAATAGTTACAGTAATGATGATAATAATAGTAATAATAACAATAATAATGATGATGATAATAATAGTAGTATTTAGAAATTAAAATGATAATAGTATTGACAATAAAAATAATGATGAAAATGATAATATTGGTTAGTCTACCGGACTCGATGTTGTGTCCTTTGGGAAGGCTTACACAAATTTTTCTCACTTCACCCAGGTGAAAATGGGTACTCGACCATAGACAGCAAATGGGGGGGGGGGGGCCTCGGTCAGAGATGGAAAGGTATACATTTTTGACAGGTAAGGGGGAGGGGCAACTGGATACGCGTAGATCTTGAGACTCATGATAGGATAAAAAGTGAAAATGGCACGCCTCATCCCACTATGCACTGTGATAGTTCACCAAGGTTAACCTCTCTTTGCTCGCCATACGTCATAAACCCACCAAGTCAAGCGGTCATGTCAGTTCATTTTAGAGTGGAGGGAGACCATTGTACCTATTGTGAGCCTTAGCATGGGTCACCATAGATTCTTCCCTGGGTTCGTCGGTTAAGATCCTGGTTTGCCTAAGATCCCGCATTTCCTTGCTCCCGAGCACCGGGATCTTAGGCGGAGACTACTGTAGTAATAGTAATAATGGGAATAGGAATAGTAATTATGTTGATAGAGGCGTCAAACCTACACCCATTTCACCATTTTCACCATCTGGATAATTTTCTGTTCTCATTTTCCTGAAGCCGATGGCCAGGTCTCTCGGATGAGCGTGTTGGACAACGATGATGATGTGGTGAGCAGCTCTTCCTCAAGGTCAAGCACAAGGTCACTCCAAATGGGCATGGACAAGGAGCTCGATATCTCCGCCAAGATCCAGTAGGTGTTCTCTCTTAAGTTTGGAAAAAAAAAAGAATGAAAAAGAAAAATACGTTTGCTTTCCTCAGGGGGAAATAAGTTATAATGGCATTTACAGGGTTTCTTTAAAAGATTGAAATAAGTTATAATGGCATTTACAAAACGTGTCTTTAAAAAATTGAAATAAGTTATAATGGCATTTACAAAATGTGTCTTTAAAAAATTGAAATAAGTTATAATGGCATTTACAAAATGTGTCTTTAAAAAATTGAAATAAGTTATAATGGCATTTACAGGGTGTCTTTAAAAAATTGAAATTAGTTATAATTGCATTTACAGGGTGTATTTTAAAAAACTGGAAATAAGCTATTACGGTATACAGGGTGTCTTAAAAAAATTGGACCCATTGAAAGGACTATAACTGCGTTATCTTTGTACCGGTTTCAACAAAACTTCAAAGGAAGAAAATTCAACCAAAGGGATATCAACTTTTTTTAATGAATAAAGTCGACAAACGGGTTCAAGAACTATCAAGTTTTAATTTGAAATTTGAAACAAAATTAAGTGAAACACAAAGTTTTACAGTTTCTTTGAACTTGATCATAATGTGCATTTGTGCAATGCTTTCCAAATTTCATTTGTCCAAAGTTTTGTTGAAATTAATGCTTGGATGACCGAGTTTTTGCCTTTTAAATGGATACCCCTTTTTTTTTAGATATCCAATACATTGCCCACATGTATGCTAATTATTTAAAAAATACATTTTAAAAAAACGCCATTAACTCATTCGCTACGTATTATTTTTGGCCTGTGGACGAATTTTTTTCGGGAGGTCGAAATGAGAAGATGACTAGTGCGCAGTTCACTGGTCTTAGGAGCCATAAATTCAAATGAATATCAACATATTATATACCAACATTTTCAGTATGGTTTGTAGAATATATCTGTATTGTTTATTTGAGTATTTTTCAACTTTGGTTCCTGTAAGAGGTGATTATGCAACACAATTGTGATTGGCTGGGGATAAAATTTAAAAACAAAAAATTTATAATCTCAGATGAAACTCAAAAAATATGTTTGCACCTAGTCAAATTACACATCAAAATAACCATAACTGTATATAAAACAGGAAAATATTGAAAAATGAGCAGTTATTTACATACATTCCATAATATCTGTACATTTGGATCATAACCTCCGATATTGAAAAAAAATAATTTTTAAATAATTTTGAAAAAAGGATACCAAACAGAAAAAAACACTCGTACCTTATATGGAATTATTCAGAATTGCATTTGGAATAAACCAATACATGTCTTGGGTGGTACTTTTTGAGTAAATTCACAAAAAAGTAGTGATTTTGGGGAGAAAAAACAATATTTTGACTATTTAGATTTAGGCCTAGATCTAGCACTCAAAAATATTGATTTCTCAATTACAGTGCACTGGCAATTTGAGTCCAGTAGTATCAATATTATAAAGAAGAGTCCTACACTTCTTTAGTGAGCAAAATAATGATACATTTTGTTGTGTAAAAGTACAAAGACTGGTGTCTGGCTATAATTTGGGCTTCGCGATAAAACAATGTCGCATAAACTTCGAAATCGTGTTTCAAAACTGAACCAAAACTTCCGATTTTCGGTGGAAACGCTTGACCCGGAAGTCAACTTTATATTATGACCTTTATTTTAACTTGGATATGTGGATTGGAATAGAAACCAAGCTAAAATTGAACGTCGGTTCTCGAGCCGCCGGGGGCGGCTTAGCCTAGCCTACTGACGGCACTTTAGCCGCGCCGCCCCCCCCATGGCTCGGCGTAGCGAATGAGTTAAAATAGTTCTTAATAAAATATTATTTAGATGCAAAATAAATAAAAATGCTTTTGTAAATTATACCTAAAAATGGTTAAATAATTGGGGGTTTCTTAGATGTACACTTGTTTTGTTTATAAAGAATTTTAAAAACTCTATCAGCCTGGAGCTCGAATTGATATGGGCCTACATTACATCCCTTTCTCCAGACATGCACACATTTTGTTCAGTCATACCATTTCTATCAAAGTCAAAGAGGACCATAGTCACACACTGTTGACACATTTGAAGCAGCCGAACAAGAACAATGAGAAACAATTAATTTTTTATTGAGTTTTCTGCTGGGATGCTGTATCTCTCAGACAGCGTGGAAGCTTGCCTCCCAAATGATCTAAAGTGTAGGCCTGTGGATGGGAATGTAAAACACCACATGAAAAAGAATACGAGCCACTACTGAGTGGATAGTTGGCGGGTGCTCCTTCTTTTCAACCAAGCATTTTTTGTACTTATCTCTCTTTTTTTTTGTATGTTACTCTCTACTAACACCTCAAATCTTTGGCACCTCTCTGACCTAATTATATTGAAATGCTGTAAAACTCATACTAAAACTGTAACTAAACAAATTCTCCATACCCTATTTTGTGTTCTAGTTTCATTCAAATTGTTCTTTTCTCGTATTTTCCAGGGAAGACGAAAAGCTGGCTCAAGCGGACGTTGATGACAAGGAAGCTGTTCATGATCAGATGGTTGATGAGGATGATGTGAGAGCTCTCAGATGAACGGAGAGACACGTGTTCTGACGTGGTGGAATCTGGCGCTCATCAGCTCGTCGATTTTGGGGCATGTGGAGTTTTTTTTATATCGTCTTAAAGCTTGTTCATTTGTCTTGCTTTTGATGAAAAAGTACCCACCTGCTTTGAATAAAATCAAGATGTATTTGTAATTGAAGGAGGTGGGTATGCCTTGTGTTGGAGGTATAGTTATCTATAAAATGTCCGTCAAAGTTTGGTGACTTCCAAAGCTTGAAAATCCTTGGAAAATGCAAATTTATATTTCTTGTGCCTTTGATCTGAGTTTTACAGTAAAATCCACACAGAAATGTGTTTTTAAATGAGCAGTTAAGGTATTGAGCCCCCGAAAAATGACAAAAATTACCCAAGTGTTGGGAAAATATCGGTTTCTTCAATTTCATTATTTTGACGAGCGCTCGATTTCATCATAATACTCCACATGCTCGTCACCTTTGGAGAATAAATATGTCGGCCTTTGTGCTAACTTGTGAAAGAGATGCATCTGATGTAGCAAAAACTAGCCACTCGGAGTACGAATTGATTCTTTCACCATGCTGTTGTGACTGTACATATTTTACTTCTGAAATCTCCATTGTCCCTTCCTCCGTACTGGTGTTGTCGTTCACTGGCTTGTGTGTTCTCTGCCTTCAAAGTCAGCTGTATGTGTTTCCTTTCTGATTGTGTCGCTGTTTCCTTTTCATTGCTTTTCCTGTCTCAGTCACCCAAACACTGGTTAATGGACACCTTCATATATACATACATATGTGTGTAAACTTTCTCACACTTAAACACACTCACATATACTTCCACTCACATATATATATATATATATACACATGTGAGCGCACCTTCTCACACTTGCACACATTCATATAGACACACTCTCACATATACACATACACATGTATGCACACTTTCTCACACTCTCATTCATCGTCACCGTCGCAAGCAATCCACTTGAATTCAAATTTTAAGAATTTCTTATTTTTGCACCCTCCAAAAGCTCTGTCAAAGATGCACCTTTCAACATCACCAAAATGCAGGTAAATGCTATGGTCAAGGCATACAATTTCTTTGCTTTTCCTGATTCCTGATAGGGACAGCACGACAAAAACTTGATTTTTGTCTGTGGTGTAAAAAGTACCCAAATGGACTTACGTGGATTCCTTGCAACACCGATGTCTCTTGCACTCACACAGATACTTTTGTCTTACGCACACGCACACGCACACACACACTCACACTCACACACACACACACACACACACACACACACACACACACACACACACACACACACACACACACACACACACCCTCACACACGCATACACACATGCTCTGAGATACTATTCCTCTAGTCTGCTCCTGGTGATATATAGCCATCTCTGTGCTGACTCACCAAAAACTGTGACTTTTTCTGGCGTGTTGCTCGTTGCCCCACACCGTGTCTTGGCTTGCCCAGATTTTGCCAGTTTTCCAACGACTTTGTGTCCTCATTTATTGTCTTAGCTCACAAGCTCTCGGTGTACCCGGCGTATTTGATATTTAATGAAGCGACTTTTCCCTTTTTCAATATCAAGATGGAGGCTGTGATATTATTTACCAAAGTTACGTCACGATTTAAGCTGCGACGTTAACTCTCCGATGACTTGAGATTCTGAAAAAGGTTTTGTTATACATATATCGTCAACATCCACCTTTAATAATAAATCCATCAAATTAGGTCAGACACTTTTTTTGTCGGGAATCATGGTATTCGCAACCATATTTACAATTGGTGGTACTATAATATGTAAACTGAACTCTCGAAACAAAATAAATAAATTTTGTCTATTCGGGAAGTTAATGAAAAAGAAATTGCATTCCCCCCCCCCCCCCCCGAAACTGATTGACCTAGTTTGATGGGTGGAGTTGGACACAAACGATAAATGTATAAATAATACATGTGTGTATGTTATATACTATAAATGCTGATGTCAATGCAAGGCTCTACAATTTTGTTTGTAACGAGTGCATTCTTTGTCCATATTTATCCCCAACAGCAAATAGTATGTCTTCACTTTGAAACTCATCAACATAATATTTTTTGGAAAAGTATTCATGGAAGGCAAGAATAGAATGAGAAAGAGAAAGAATGGGAAAGAATATTTAAGTGATTTTCCCTGTCGATCCCCGGTACAATAGATGTAAGTTGATATAGTATCTGGTGTGGTCTGCTCTTTTCACTTCTTTTACAAAGTGTCGCTATTGCACTTGTCTTTATCAACTTTGTATCAAAGTGTGACTGTTAGCCTATTTTGATTGTGTCAGGTTATAATTATAACTGCTCAGTTCAGCAAACATTCATCTGAGAGGGTAATCACTGCAGAGCAGATATTGTTGGTATATTTTTTCCACAGGTCAGATTCGAGCCAGAAACTTTGCAGCAAAATGAGACGACTGAGAAATGTTTGTGGCTACAAGTGTATGTCTGTTTTATTAATGAGTGCTTAGTAATACTTTGATTCAAGAGCCATAACTACAAGTAAATAAAAACAAGAAGGCTATTGGTGTATGAATGATTCACTGCGAGCAGCAGAGGGGTTGCTTCCCTTGTTGCTTGGGCTTCTGGTTTTTTATCTCCCCCCCCCCCCCCCCTCCTCCCCGTCTGTCTTGCATTAGCTTATTTTTTAGATAGAAAGTTGGACTGTGCGAGACTGATGATGTATACGAGAGTTATCTGTTGTGTGGGAGAAGTTTTGCATTTAATAGTGTTTTAGCCACAAAGAATGTCTGTATAAATGTTTACTTTTCATAACATCCTTTCCATTTGTGAGTTTTTTTAAATAGATTTTTTTATCTTTAAGTTTGTGAGAGTAGTTTTTACAATTTCCCATTTTTTTCCTATGTCTATCATTTTTGAAAACCATCATGTTCTTTTTTTCTCAGCATTAAATGACATTGATCTTTTCTGTATTTGTGTGTTTTTCATTGATTGAAAGAATATACCATGATTACCATTGCTCTATGTACTTCTTGCCTATCTAGATGTCTCTCTGTTGTATCTGTCTGTTGTATCTATTGGAATTCTGTTCCCCATCACAGAGTTACTGATGCCTGTTGGTTTTGACTTTTTTTGTACCGGTACTCAACAAACCGACTCTGATTAGGGGGGGGGGGGGGGGCTACACCCCCAAAATCAAAATTCGCCTCAAAATCATGGAATTTGAGTTGTAGGCATTTTTAGCTTCCTCAGCCTCTCCTACAACTATTTCATGGCATAAGAACCCCCAAAAACCGTATTTTTTCCCATACCGGGCATGTTTGTAACCGCCATTTCCTCATAAAGTCAGTATCTTATTTTTCTTTATCGGCCGTTTTCTCAAAATGCAACTTTTCTCTATACTTTTTTGAATAACTTCACCATTTTTCATCCAATCTTCAATGAAATTTTCACAGAATTAAGAGAAGAGGTAATACTAAAAATTTGATTGTTGAATTTTTGATATATGGAATAGATTTTTGTTGGTGGTGAATGGAGTGTGGATTTTCACGGATTTTTCGCAAACTTCATTTAAAATTTTCTAATTCGGTTAGGAAAAAAACAACAGACAAATTTTACGCATACAAAAAAACAATCAATTTCCATGAGCGATAAGTGCGGTATTCAGTACGTAAGACATGTCAATAAAATCCAATATGGCAGCGTATCCATGGAAACGAAACTTTTTTCTCAAATTTGATTGCGGATTTTAAGACTCCTTACTAAGCTTATTATATGTGTGAAATTTGGTAAAATTCGGACCAGTAATAAGCGAGATAGCCTCCTGGTGTAGCCCCCCTCCTTAAGAATAAGATTAGAGCCACACATTTTCTACATCAGCTGCCAATGCGGTTATTTTTCCTCCACCCCGTTCATTTTATATAATATATATTTCCCTCCTTTACTTCCACATCCTCCTCCTTTCTTCTTCTGCATACCTCTGTTAGTTCCTGGGGGCAGTCAACTGTAGGTTTTTCCATCCACAGATAAACTGCTCTATTGTTTTGTTTTAGTAGAGGCTTTACGGCCCTCACAACTGCATAAGGTCATATGAGCGCCAAAAACTGCTCTCTAGAAGGACAACAATTGTTTGTTTTTTCTGTCCTACATCAACATATCGTGATCCCTTACCTTTCATGCTGCCTTTTGCTGGCTGTGTTTTTGAACTTACAACACTCTCAGTCATTCATTTTTTATTCTTTTTTTTTTCTATTGGTCTGTTTTGGGTTAAAATTAATTTTGGTTTCTACCCTGGACTGGCCTGCTCTTCTTCGACTTTCAAACGCCACGGTGTCTTTGACGTGCGAGACCCGCACACTTGATATCCCAGTTTTTCGTCCTTTTCTGAGAAGACTAGGTGCTAGATCTTACCCACCGTAGGATCAGGGGTGTAAAAATGTTTGAATAAAGAATATCCTAAGTTATTTCCCCTGCCTTCGTTTTTGTTTAAGCCCAGTAGTAAACTGGATACTTAACCCTATCTTACGTCGTGTTTTACCATCATTCTTTCTTATCACACATCTATCATCCCCATCTCCCCTAATTCTTTTCTTTGTATTTTACTCTCTAATTACACCTCTAATCTTCTCTAACCTTTTTGTGTTGCAAGAGCTTTAAAACTTATTGAAACTAAAAGAAAAACTAAACAGTGAACCAGCGTCCTGTAAACCCACCATCTTTTACAATAATAACTGTTGTGGATTTGTTGTTTTTCTGCTTATTTTGATGTTGAGGATAAAAATTCTGACTTTGTTTTTTGGGTTTTTTTTAAACCAAACGTGACTCTTGAATTTAATTGAGATGTGAAATAACATTGTCATTACTTTTCCTTATGTCAAATGTCATTGTCATTACTTTTTCTTATGTCAAATGACATTGTCTTCTATTTTTGTGATATCAAGTGACATTCTCAGTGAACAGCAAAAAAGCTGGTTTTGAATTATGATTTTGTTTGATGCCGTGGGAGGGGGGGGGGGGGGGGGGTGCGAGAATTAAGCCTGCAAATTGTCCCAGCATGTGAACTGTGAGTGCCCAGCGAAACTCTGCTGTTCTAGTTCTATAATATGATACCATCTGACATATTTTAATAGTGTGGCTGAAAAAAAAAAAAAAAACTCAATGGGACTTGGGATTTCTTGGAACAGATGAAGAGAGTTTTTAAATGAGCGAAGGGAAATGAACGTGAAAGGAAAATGCGAACACCATATTTCTATTTATAGTATTATTTTTCCCTTTAATGAATTCTCATAAAGTATATGATCATGGGCATCCATTAATTTATGGTACTTTCAGTTAGCTACGTGTAAACCAATGCATTATTCATGTTAATTTTATAATTATCATCTTTTTTATTCACATCACGTTTGTTAGATAAGCTAGCTAATGAGAAGTTCACAGAAGTTTATTTTTTCTTCTTAATTTTTTTAGGCTAATGACATAATTTTGTTTGTAATAGAATTTCTGTTCACCGTACGTATATTACGACTGGTCACATAATACGCTCCTTACTTCTGACTACAGCTGTTTTCTGCTTTTGAACTACAAAGTATGAGGAAAAATGTGTGTTGCCCATTTATTTATTTATTTATTCAGACACAGGCGTTACAATGTGTATGAGATACATATAACATTTGTCACTTTGAGACTGAGATGATGAGATGAGAGAGTGGTAGTTTGGAGTGGGTTTGAAGTGGATGCTTTGTTTGCGGGAACAGAAAATTGATTATGTTCTAATTTTACGTATATGTGTCACAGCACGGTGGAATCAGGCACTCGTCAATTTAGTCCTTTGGAATTATTTGTATAATCCTATAAAGCTTGTTCGATTTGCCTTGCTTTTGATTTTTTAAAAACCCAACCCAATACTCATCTATCTTGAATAGAAGTCCAGTGATTAGAGGGACGGGGGGGGGGGGGGGGGGGGGGGGGAGTCGCTTGTGCCAGAAGTAAAATGAGCTGGAAAATGGCCATCATATGTGGTGACTTCCACAGCTTGAGTGTCCTTTGAAACTACAAATCTCCTCTTTTGTGCCTTTGAACTAAATTTTTCCGTAAAATTCACCCAGAAATTAATTTGTTTTTGAATGACACAATAGGTATAATTGAGCCTAGAAAATAAACATGGATAAAGATTTGCCCAGTGGGTGAAAAATGTTGGTTTCTTGGAATTCCTTATTTTGACGAGCGCCTGATTTCCCCATGCTATGATGCCACAAAAATGTCTTTGATATGAGTCTTTGCTCGATTCACACTGACAATTCTTGTATTGTGTTTTATTTGATAAGGCCAGCTTTACCATGATGAAACAATAACATTTTCAAAATTTGCGGTGTAATGTTCCATTTTCTCATGTGACGTGTTTAGTAGTTTTGTCTTTTCCTGTATTACAAGTAAGTGGAAAAACGCGCTCTCATATGACCTCATGCAGCTGTGAGTGTCGTAAAACTTTTACCGTGGGTAGTTGGTGGGAGCTCTGGTGGGGTTTGCTCCTTCTTTCCTATAAAAAATCTATCGTCTCTATCTCCCCTCCTTCTTTTTTATGTTTGTTACCCTCTTGGAACACCTCTAATCTTCGGCACTTATATGACCTTATTGTGTCGCAAGTGCCGTTTCTTAAAAAACTTTTACCAAACTGAAAACTGGAGTGGATATAATTGTGCAGTGGGTTGGATTCCGGCCGAAAAAAAAAGAAAATAACGGACTGGGTGGTTGGCGGGTACTCTGGTGTGATTTGCTCCTTTTATTATATCATCCCTATCTCTCCTCCTCCTTTTTTGCAATTGATACTCTCTTGAACCTTGAAGTACCGCTCATCTTCGGCACTTACCAAATTGTGCAGCAGATGCTGTAAAACGCTAGCTAAAGCAAACAATTTGTGCCTCTTGAGCAACCATTTTCAATGAAATCCATACAGAAATTAGTTTTTAAATGGACGTAAAAGGTGTTAATCCAAAATATTTGAATACACATGAATTTGTAATTTTTTTTTTTCGATAAAAAGTGCCGGCGGAAAAAAAGTGTCAACTACTTTACTTTTATTATTTTGACAGAGTCTTGACTCATCACGATACCAGACATTTCAAACAACAAAATGTAATATGGTGCAGTATGATCGGTAATATTGTACGGTATGATAAGTAATATTGTGCAGTACGACATGTAATATGGTACAGTATGATATGGGTTTTCACACACACACCCTTTTTTTTCTATTCCCCACCGCCCCTTTTCACTTTTTCAATTCTGCAAGGATACATAAGACGGACATCCGAACATTAAATCCATATCCGATAGAACTGAGTCAAATAATGTAAAGAGCCTTGGAAACTCCCCATACTACCCAAGTTGAAGAACGCCCCATTGAGGATTTGAACCAAGGTAGTCAGCACCATTCCATACTATAGCCCCAGCTGAGATAAACTGAGCCTATTTGAGTCAGTTCGACAGTGTGTCTAAAGAAAGGTTGTTTAGAGAGGCAGAATTATTTAATACAAAAATTGTTGTTTTTCATTTTCATTTTATTTCATTTCATTTTATTTCAAGATTTTATTTTGTTTTATTATATT